AGTCAATAGCATCGAGAATTTCCTTTCTCGTTATTTCGGACTCAAGAATGTCAAACTCAACATCTGATTGGTTATAAACAGCAATATCGTCATGCTCATTTTCAATAACATCATGGAATATAAGATCATTGCCAAACACATGCTTAAAATGAGTCAGCCACTCTGTGCCTGTGATATTATTTTGAACAGATGATGGACTGCGTAGAGAATTAATTTCTCTCCAGAACCGTTTTGGGTTTGATAATGAGGCATTTAGACGATTTAATTTGGTAACTTTAAGGGATTTTAAATAGCTTTTACATTCTGTTTTATATTTGTCGCGTAACTGACATTAAGTTTTCCTATTAGATTCAGATCTATTTTTACGGAACTTTCTTAGCGCTCGTCTTGCTGATCTCCTATGTTCTCTACACTCGTTGTTTAAATTGAAAATATATTTACGTGGTTTATTTCCAAGAACTGGTTTTTTCATACACTGCCCTGACTCAAGTAGTAGATTTACAAAAAGATCAACTGCATCGTTTATGTTAGTAAACACTAACATAAACGATGCAGTTGATCTTTTTGATCAGCGTAGTCAGAAGAATCTGTGAAGTTTCAGCCAAACGATCACTAAGACAGTGTACAAATTCATCTCTATGCAATTCATTCCATACAAATCTATCTGCCGAGTTGGTGCTATTACATTGTGCAAATCTATTTGTGTTTTCTCGTGGAAATGAACAACTCAGTTCAAGAGGGCAGTGGTCCGAGTCAAGACTCTCGCCAACTGTAAGATTATTAACAAACTCGTAGAAATCAGATGAGGCAATAAAATAATCAATAGTACTACTACCATTACCACTAATGAATGTATATTCACCATTCATGTCGCCATTAACTCTGCCATTTAGTATGATCAAGTTGAAAACATAGCAGAAGTTAATTAGAAATCGTCCAAACTTATTAATAACATTGTCATGCGAAGGCCGTCGTGATATACATGCATCTACAATGTCAACTTCTGGGAAAATATCGGGATCATTTGTGGTCGATTCTTGATCAACTAAATTATTTTCACTACCTGTTCTAGAGTTAAAATCTCCGCAAAGAAGCACAGTTTAATCAGAGAGACGGTCTGCTCTATCAAGAAAGAATTCATCGAGTTTATCATATACGTTAATTTTTTTATGTTTGTCATAGTATGTAGAATTTTCTGGTGGTATGTACAAGGGGCAAAACAATACATCTTTAGGCGTTCCAAAGAGGTTTGTCTTCAATATAATTGACAAGAAATTATCAATACCCGAATTACTATTAAATACATTACAAAACTGAGCAAACTCATTTCTAATGGCAAAACAAACACCACCACATTTTCTCCCACGACCGGACAGCTTTACCGCCGGGGAGTAGAAGACTTTAAAACCAGGTAACCAATCGAAGTCGACTGAGTCAAGAAACGTTTCAAATAAACAAATAATGTCAAATGTTTCCAAATACGAATTAAACTTGTCATTTGACAGCTTACTAAACAACCCATGAACATTCCAGCATAAAAACGAGAAAAACGATTGTCAATTTCATTTTGGCTATCGACATCGGTGTACAACGAATCTGTATCCTCTGAGAAAGTATCCGGGGCCTGGCCAACATCTCAGGCAGTCTGATTCCGAGCATTTGACCTGGTATTACGACGTCGAGTCGCCGTGTCGGAGATAGTCACTCGATCCGGTATGGGCTCAGTTACAAGCCGCCCATTTTTAAAGTAGCCTCGCATATCGGTGCCCTTTAAGTCCTTGATTTGCTGTCGCTGCCGGTTAGTCAAATCATTTGCAACGCCATAACTAGCATCTCTCAGTTTGGGTCTCGCACTCAAGATCAAGATTTTATCGTCACTCTCGCGTACTTTCGGGATCATTGGACGCGGTTTATCGGCGGCTTGGGGCGTCTTGCCGAGTCGATGGGCTCTGATCAGGTCCTTGGGTGACCACGTTTTATCGGTGACACACTGGTTGAAAATATCCACCACCTTTTTTTTACACTGTACGGTATTCTCGTCTCCCTCAGGAATCCCATAGATAATCACATTGTCTCGTCTACTGAAGGCCTCGAGCTTATCAATTTCGTTATCCATAGAAGTGACTTTATTTTCGATTTGCTCAAGTTTCTCATTTGTAGCGTCGATATCAGAGACAATTACATCTTGATTAACTTTAATGTCACTCACAGTAGTTTGAAGCTTTGAGAACTTACTTTCAAGGTTGCTGCACTTGCTGTTCACGTTTTGGATCTCATCCCTGAGTGCTTTGATCTCGCTCGATAAGTTTTTTTTGACATTTAATATAGAATCAAAAAGATCCTGATTGCTTGGGGGTCCAGGATTTAGCTCGACGTCACCAGACATGATTAGCAAAAGGGGGACAAATAGCCTATACAATAGCCTTTTTGTAAACCGAAGTTGTCAATTACACTTGTCAGTATCACGGGGCTCGTGCACTTCGTGGCCAAGTGGGGCATGGACAATAAAGGTATGTCAACAAGCTGACACGTTTGGTTAAATGTTGTGACGTCACACAGGTAATGAATATCGATTTCATCGAGAATATATTGATATAATGAAAGTTCAAATGCAAAAACTGCACAGATGCCACTATCAAATAGTGATGACATCAGGTGGTGAAAAGGTGGGCGCATGAGCGACCCCAAAACAACCATTATGCACCACTGTCGTACGTAAATACCAGACCAACTGTGAAAAGAGTGAGTGAGTGAGTTGGGTTTAACGCCGCTTTTAACAGTATTCCAGTTATATCACGGCGTGTCAGCTTAATGTGGGAGGAAAGCCCGAAGTGATGCAGGTCTCAGACGTTTACCACTTCGGTAAAACCCACGAGCACGGGTATGGTGCTGACAAACCTAGAAACATAATCGGGACGAACCAGGATTCGAACCCACAATCATAAGTTTCTGGCGTGTCCAAGGGACGCAACTCTGCACAGCGAATCGCGGCGCCTTAGACGACTGGGCCACCCGTGCCCCTATATCCATGGGTAACGTTTTGTCAAAGTTTTTTTTCTCCCAACCTAGACCGGCTGTTTCACTGCCTAGTCGGTATGACTACGCCTTCAGAAGCACAGTCACAATGTCACAATCTTTTGACAAACTGCTTATCCTGGGCCAGTTCCCCAGATTCGCAATCGATCGCTAAATAATTCTTGACAGTTCAAAATTAGTGTTTATACAGTCGAACCTCATTGCGTTGAAATCGTAGGGGCCTGGAAAAAAGTTGAGTTATCCATGGTTCGAGGCATTAATTTAGGTTTAATTTGGACACTTAGGTATCCCAAATGAGTTCGAGACAACTAGGAATTCGACACATCCAAGTTCGACATAACAAGGTTCGACTGTATTAAAAGCCAATAGTCTGTTTAAAAGATAACTGAGGTGTTAAAAAGTATTTAACGGAGGTTTGGAGGTATGTAAATTTTAACGGGCATTTAACCAACCACTGAGGATATCCACGATTTCAGAAACAACATAAACGTTTGTTAAATTCAACGGATAGATAACTGATGTAACTGCTTGTTAAAAGTTAACCAGTCTTGAACAACCCCGCCCCTGTGCTACTAGATAGCCCAAACGCTGCAGATTGAAGCTTTGTTTCGTGTACATTGTTAGAGAAATTGACCAGAGTTGAAGGTTTTATTCTGGAGACAAACACATACTTTGACGATCACTGGCTCTGTATCTAGCATAGTGCAAAACTCATTTTACTGTTGTAACAGAAATAATCAATCAATTGCAATAAACTATTGAAAAGATTGGGACCAGCAAAGTATATTCTATCCGAATATCTGACATCGGCAGTGATCTCTGAACTTGAAATATTTCCGTAAACAGTAAACGTCATAGTAGTCTATTATATCACATTATGTCTCATTCTGATGAAGTTCAACAACTTAAAAGTTCAGCAACATAAAAACGACCTCTGTCCGTCACTTTTCGTTTCCAGATAAACTATTTAATGTATTTTCGTTCTGAAACTTTTTATACGCATTACACATGGGCAGAACGTTTCCAAGGAAACAAGTTGGATCGTAGGTTCAGTTAAGAATAACTCATTAGCCAAATCTTACAACCTACAACCCTGTGTGGACAGTGGTCAGACTTGGTGACTTGGCTGCTTGTGTGACATCGTACCCTAACAGCGTTGGACGTTACTCATACTATCATTCATTGGACATATTTTCAAGCTGCTGTGATGAAGCTGAAATACTGCTTAATTTACAAACAACCGTAATATCTAAATGGACGGGAGATATCGATATCTATTTCTTCTGATTGTCTGTCCCTCTCATTGTGCAAGTTTGGTTGATTTGATGACAATGTTTTACCTGACAAACATTACCAAAGCAATCTGACTTCTTTATTTATACACGGCGACACACACAAATTATTTTACCACAACATATTTATCCGTTTATGACAAAACTTGAATAGTTTACATGTAGCTCTTATTGTTGATTGTTACAAATATATGTTTTTTGTAGCATCATTTGCATATACAAAAATAAATTCGTCTTACTGTACATGGCAATGTGGTGACACGTTTGTCGAGGTGTCCACCGGTAATACACGTACATGTGTCAGTAAGGCAAACCCTGCTTACCTTTCATACAAGTTTGTAAAACCTTACCGTACATATTTGTCAAAGATATAGTCATGTTGATTATCCATCAGAAAAAAATGTCGTAGTGTGAGTATTATATATTTGAGTATTAAAGTTTGTCCCACTGGGCATGGGAATTTAGTGACACGTTTGTCTGCGTGTGAACCTTGTATACGTACATGTATCAGCTGAGGCAAACCTGTGCTTACCTTTCATGATGTTTGTCCTTACTTTACAAATCGCTATCAGTGTTTTTTATATGTCTGTCATATACGTATTTTCCTAGGATTAGATTAGTGTCATGTTAATTACCCACAAGTACAAATATCGTAGTGTGACTGGAACCTACCCAGCATGAGTTGAATCCACCACCCTGACACAGCCGCAGTAAGTATCAGCCACCTCACACCCGCCATGTTTGTGAACCAGGAAGTCATAACACTAAAATGATTTGTGGACAAGAACGAAGGGACCTTTACAGTTATTACTATCATTTCACAATATCTCTTACACATGGTTAACAAAACCCTATACACTCATTTCGACAAGAGCACACGGTGTATTTACATAGGCAGGGGTATATCTAATATCAATACACAGTATCCTCGGATGCTCAGGCGTAACAAAAATCTCACTTCTCCTTACCAACATTGAAAAAGCGAATGTACATTAACGTCATGATTCACGCCATGTTCAGTGGCAAGGAAGTACAATATTGTAGCAAAATGGTATCCATGGTGAGTTGAAGTACTTATTGTTATAAAAGCATAGAATATAACACAAAGGTAACAACTCGAATCTATTTATAGGGGAAAATGAACAAAGTGAGAGGAAAACCCTTGCAAATTTTATTGATGCATAATAACTACAGAGGGTCGACAGAGGGTGCAACACTTGAGAAACGAGATACAGTGAACATAGTTGATTTAATATTCCACTTAGCAAGGAAACAGTGGTGTTAGGACATACGCCGCACAACAAACATTAACACACATTCATCCGTTCTGACGCACCAACTTATAAACAAATGTCATCTGATTGAGAGGAAAGACCCCATCATTATAAACATGTGATGCCCTCACGAAATTGCTATCCCTCACTGGTACGGAAGTAACGTGAGTGAGTGAGTGAGTGAGTGGGTTGGTGGGTGGGTGCATGGGCGATCGGGCGGGCGGGCGGGTGGGTGGGTGGGTGATTTATTGATTTATTGATTTATTGATTGAAGTGAAGTGAAGTGAAGTGAAGTGAAGTGAAGTGAAGTGAAGTGAGGTGAGGTGAGGTGAGGTGAGGTGAGGTGAGGCGAGGCGAGGCGAGGCGAGGCGAGGCGAGGCGAGGCGAGTGAGTGATTGAGTGATTTATTGATTGAAGTGAAGTGAAGTGAAGTGAAGTGAAGTGAAGTGAAGTGAAGTGAATGAGTGGGTGAGTAGATGGGTTGGTTCGGGCGGGCGGGCGGGTGGGCGGGTGGGCGGGTGGTTGAGTGAGTGAATGAGTGATTTATTGATTTATTGATTGAAGCGAAGTGCAGTGAAGTGAAGTGAGGCGAAGCGGAGTGAGTGAGTGAGTGAGTGAGTTTTAACGCCGCTGTGTAAGGTATTTCTGTTACACCACGGAGTGTCAAGATCAGCTTACTGTGGGAGGAATGCCCACAATGATACACCGGTATGGGGCTGATAAACGCAGTAACATAATCTGGCGAAAGGGAATTCAAACCCACGATCATAGGTTTCTCGAGTGCCCAAGGGGCGCAACTATGCACTGCGATTGACCGGTTGTGACAGAAACTCTAAGATAAAAGATAATGTGTCTTTTCCCCCTTACTGTCGTGGCTTCATAGTCGACACTACGACTATATTGTGCATATTGTGCATTTCCCTCAACATATTCTGAAAAGGAATATTTGAAAAACCTAACAGGATATGAATTGTAAGGAAGAGCTTAGAGTACGACTGAGTGGCCTAAATGTGCTGTGACAACGCTTTATGCATTAGCGTGGCGTTTGATATAGTGACTCATCCCATTTGATGAGCGGATCCGTGTGTATGAATGAACGATATACCAGATGTTGAGTACACAAAGTCGACGACTCCGTGGAAGAAGTGTCAGGATGTATCCATCTGTTATGGGCGCAGAACACACCTTGTTCATATCCAGGGCAACTTAACAGGTGTGAGATATTGTGACGAGATCCTACGTCCTCACGTTCTCAGAGTGCAAGCGCTAGAGGCACCATTATTCAACATGGCAATACTCTCCCACAAACACCATGAGTCTCTTCTGATTTCCTGAAAGCTCAGAACTTAAAAGAAGTGCCGTGGCCTCCAAGGTCACACGATCTCAATCTAACTGAGCATCTGCGGAATGTGCAAGACGATCTGGGGCCACATGCTCTGCAGCAATATCGCCAAGCTAAACATCTGTCCCACTTGAAGGAAGAACATGTGGATGTGTGTACCCTTGTTATTCTGTCTCCATTTCTGTATCAGCACACTATTAAAAGTATAATGAGAAAGCAATTTCATGAGATATATACAGAAATAATGTCAGACAGGTACTGTTTCATTTGATGGCATTTTGTTTGAAATAGACCTATCCCTCTTGAGCATTAAATTCAGTGAGCAGAAACTATGACATGTTTGAACACAGAAAGCATAAAGTATTGTTTTTCGTGTTTTGTGCATCGTTCGGAGATAACAGTCACACATTTGTTATAAAATCGCTTCTCTACGCTACTCGATTTCATACATGTTGTGACTGTTAAGGTATTGTCATCAATGACGCAATGTAACGTCATTTCACTACACCTGACCAAGCAGCATTGACAATTGTTTAATTGCACATGTAAAAATATCGGAAAGTTTTTACACTCGTTATTACCCTAATGTGTCATATACATTATCATAATCAGTCGAACAAGCTAGCATTCAAATCGAACACACCTCTGCATGGTATGACTGCCCTGTTTTATACACGGTTGTGTATACAAGCCATCTTTTATGAAGTACCGTTTGGATCAAGAGCTGCATTACACCAGGCAAGACTGCGTCAGGCAGTAGAACTTCAATAATGCTGATGCAACATACGTCTATGATCATTGGTTTGAATGGTGATAATATGTGCTATGTACATTTTATGTAGCTATCTAAATGCCTAAAAGGTGTGCACCTATCTGAAACGTTTACACTGAATCGTGAACAAAGCCACACCTTGCTTGCGCGACAATGAATGTTCAGTGTTATTGACACTAAATATGCCCCTTTGAGATATTCAGGTAATATTTCTTCTCATGTGCTATTTCATATCGCAATGGAGGAGTAGTTCATAATATTTACATGCTCGGTTCTGTTGATACTCATATTTCAATACAGTAATTGCAAGGCCAAAACACAAAATTACCAAAGGAGGGGATATCGTGATCAGGTATCGTAAAGCCAACCCTATCCATGTCTCAATGATAACATTTCATATGCTTTTAAATCAGTAAATATAAGGATAAAGGAAAAACAATGAAAACACAAAGGCAACATAATCTAATTTATTTGTGCATAAAATGTAACAGATATATCTTGAATGTGAATAATGAGTTTATTAACTATCACAAGAATGTTACAAAAAGAGTCATTTGATTCTATCCGGAAATGAAATAGTTTATATCAATGTATATGTATCTATTGTTTCACATGCTTTTCTTAATTCTTACATCCTCATATCCTTGTGGGGATATTATGATTAATAACATAGCATTATTACATTCAGAGACAGAAAGGCTTTCTGTGTCTGTGCTTCCAAAAACAGGTTTCACTCGAAAGATGCATCATGATTTTGTTTTACTCTTAAAGGATGTCTTAATACTGCCATAAGCTTCAATAACTGTGAAGTTTATTGACATTCTTTACACTGTTTATTGACATTTACATTGACATTTATTGACATCACAAATTGATATAACTGATTATATATTATGCTATGCTATGCTATGCTGTATAATATTATATTATCCCTTTTGATTGGAAAATGTACAAGCAAAGAGTTGTCAGATGAAGTGAGTCAGATTAATGTTTGGGAAAGCAGCCCAAGATGTCCCCACTTTGTTGACACAGCTCTACACAGCAAACTATGTCTCTGAGACTCTGAGTCCCCTGAGGTTTTTTGGGGGTAGGCATGTGCATAAGCATATCGAACAATTTGTCAGTGACTGAATTCCTTGGAGTATGAACCTTCATCTGATGAAGGCTAGCCTGTTCAATGTACAAAATCCATGATGATCATGATGATCCGAAGTTCTACTGTCTGTTTTAGATTATTAAACCTTTAAATAATTACAAATCCCATTATGCTTTTTGGTTTCACAACCATAAAGAAAAGCAAGATACTATACTTCTGATTATTGTCGGTGATAGGACCCAACGCGTAATTTACATTCATGGGATTATCATTCCCTAAATACAGTAACTACTAAATAATAGGGTGTCTTCTTTTCCTACATAGCATCCTGCACGGGCGTCACACTTGAAGCAGCTGTACTGTTATACCCGGTTATCCCCGGGAAGGCTATCTTACTCTAGTATAATAAGTATGATTTTGATATATGAGATTGTGGAACGGTTTAGTATTTGAACTAGTGTCATTTCTACTTCAATATGTGATATATTGCTAATACTGATCTTTGTCGACTGGTGTAATTATCTGTACACTGATCCCGTTAATATGTATCTGACACATTGCATGTGTGGTGTGAAATTCGCATTTTTTTGTATTTTAAATCTTGCTTTGAGATTGTTATTGGAAACAAGTCAGTTTGACTTTGCAGTGTACAGTATTGTTAAATGAGCAGGAACTCATGCCTAGGCACAAGTTGAGATAAGTTTAGTCTCTGTGTATATAGCCAGTGGTGATTTCGTCTGGATATGGTGTCAGAAATTGGCGTAAACTCCAAGTGTCTTCATCCTCCGCTGAGTGAACTCAAGACAGAATCTCACGTCAGTCTGAAAATACAGTCGAGGTAAATTCAGCAAATGTACACCCATGTTTGTAAGACGATTAAAATACAAACATTTTAACATCTTGTTGAATACATGCAATTTTACCTATATCTGAATACAATTTCTATAAAACCTGAATGAAATATAGATGATGTGTGCCACATATCAGAACTGTAGCTGCCATGTGGTCAAGGAAACATGAGAACAGACATTGGTGATACCCTTGCATATCATATTTTACCTCTGTGAATGGCGGACCACCAAGACGATCGTAAAGCTGTCGCATGTTGTTGATGACGTCCACCCTACCATCGTCCTGCAGCCTGCTGGCGATGTTAAGCAGAAGCACCAAGAGACGAAACTCCTCCACAGATCTGTGATAAACCAATAACATTCAAATAAGTACAATTCAATTCACAATTTACTGCCTATAACATTTGATTATATTTGAACAGACGGCCAATGTCCAGGCAAGGTACTATGACATCGATGTACCTTAGTCGTGTCAACTAATTACATCCTAACAACTGCAGATCAACAACACCAACAGTGATATGTATGTACATACTCTGCTACCACTGTGCTTAAGCCTCGTTTGGGATCACTTGTCCACGTGAGAAAGTTGTCAATCAGCAAGTGGAAACTGGGATCCCTCACACTCCCCATGATGTGGTAATGTTGAATAACAGTAGTGTCATTGATATCCTGAAATATTAAAATACTAAATGGTTACTTATAATGCACACTGCTGTTTAAGGTTATGCACATGTATGTAGCCATGTATACATTTTTCAGGCCACGGTAGAGAGTAAGTGACTCACTGTTGAACGATTTCTGTAAATAATCGAGTCTTGAACAGTTAACATGAGCTGAATACATGAACAACGATCCACACTATCGGGCACACAATCAGCCAAGTTACCGACCCTGGCCACCGGTCTCTTCAGCTGGTTCTTATATGGGATACTGGTGACCTTTTCCTCTCCAGAATCCACACAGGATTCTTCGTGTGGTAAAAAGATATAGTGATATAACTCGAGCAACAACACTGTGGGTTAACGCTACACACAGTACATCAGTATTCGCATTGAAAATATTATGTTTTTCAACCTTTAGTTTCAGCTCCACTGTGTTCAGAAGGATGTCATCAGACAGAGCTGTAGACCTGGACATGCTCACTTCAAACCTGGTGGTGCTAACAGGACAGTCTACTGATGGGAGGTAATCCTGGAACGAGTTGTTAATGATGACTAATTTATGAACATCAAATAGATCTTGTACCTATATGTCGTTTATTACATCTGTAACTATCATCAGGACATTATATGCTCCCGTGAATACGAGTACGGGCTTTGAACATAATATATCAAACTATTCTACGGAAGCTATTTAACATGCAGCTTACTTTCAATATAGTGAGTGGGTCTTTGACGCCCCACTCAGCAATATGACGGTAGTCTGAAAATTGTGGAGCCTGGACCAGACAATCCAGTGATTAACATCACGAGCATCGATGTATGGGATACGATAACGTGAATCAACCAAGTCAGCACCCGATCCCGTTAGTCGCCTCTTACGACAAGCACGGATTGTTGAAAGCCAATTCTAACTGCACTTTAAATCAAAGTAAATGTCAAATGTGTTTCTTAATTATATTTAATGTACCGTTGGTAATGCATCTTGAAATAACCTCTACAAAACATACAATGACATATTTATAGCATCATATCCGTAGGACTGATGTTGTTTCTTGAGCATGATGTTTTGTTTTATGTGGTTGTTGCTCTTGAAAGAAACAATTTCATCAAGATAATATTATGCACATTTTCCTACAAAAATAGACAATATTTCTTTAACGTTCTTCGGGAAATAAACCCACTCCTCAAATGGGTCCAGCTCACTTCCTCTTAATTAGGAAACAACAATATGGTTACTACTGTTTGTATGAAGTGTATGCTTTGGGCAAAAAGCGTGACATGAATGTGTGGCCTTGATATCTTAGAATATATAAAACCATTTTTAAATATCAGTTCATAAATATATACTGACCAGAGCACCTCCAGCATATGTTATTAAAATGTGCGAGTCACTGTTGTAAACTTGATTCCACACGGCCTCTTTTTCCGGATGTGACGACATAATAAAGAACCCATTCAGAGATGCATATGACTGCGAAATAGAAATGAGTATTAATAAAAAGGGTTATAATAATGACTGATCTCATTCTTCTTTACCGAATTGTCAGTTTTGTATGTTTGGGCTATTCACGCGACTTATCCAAAAACGTACAAGTAAACAGAGCATATTTTTCTCTTGTCAAATAACTTGTTGATATCATCAAGTGATCTGCTATGTCGACATTGTCATGAGTGGCGCAGAAAAAGACAACTGCTTTACTTATTAGGTATGTTCGTGCATGAACTGCACGATCTTACTCTGAAAACCATAGCGTAATTGAAGACTGATAGACTGAAAGTAGTACAGGCACAAAGTGATATTTTACTCGAGTGAAACATCAATTGTAAATTTGAGGATAAATATAGCATTTCACCACTCAATGAACAACATCTGTACATTGAACATGATGTATTGCGCTGCTTACTTACAGGAACGCTTGTGACAATTGCTCCCTCGGCATGCCCTGAAAGGTAATTGCAACTGATATGGAGAACTTTAACTACAAGACTATTTTCAAAGTTACATTGTTGACATGTGTCTCGATATTCAAGGTCACGCAGACTTAGTTCACTTCCTTAGCATGTATAACATACCATTTTACGTTTACAGAGTTAAATAACCAGTTGATCTTTCATTACATGTATTGCCACTTTAGCAATTCGGATGATACTGTACTCACCCCCACCTCCGCGTTGTAAAGCCTAAAATAAATGAGATGAGTCAGTCAATCACTAAATGTGATGTAAATTCTGCACAACTTATTATTTTGCGTGGAAAGTGTGTATCTGGATACATGGAGTGTATCTATACCGTCACTTGTCAAAAGTGTGTAATCAACGTTGACAGGTCAGACAGTTGGTGGCTGATTTCTGCTCAATTGCAATACGTGAACGGAGTAAAGGTGAATTTGTGTTAATAGGTATGCCTACCTCGAGGTGTTGTTGTACCGTCCTATTGCCCACAGTAACATCTAATACCTGACCGAGGTCAAGGTGTTTGATGGAGGTGGAGTCAAGTGTTGTGTCCCCCTCTGACACGGCCCTTGCCAACGCCTGATAGATGAACAGGTACTGCTCCTGGATATGTAAAGGTGTTTGATAGAAAGTTATCAACAATGACATAGTTATCAATAAGATATCCTACTTGGATAAAACAATTGTCATGTTTTACAAATACCTTTGTTTGAATCATGTTCTTCCTCTGCCCTCTCATGTTGGAGACGAAGCTAACGACGTCCACAATGCCCTCTGTCTTCGCCTGCTCCACAAGACTTTCGATAGTGATGTACGTCCCTGTTCGACCTATACCAGCACTGGATTGAAGAAGGAGTTTAAACAAAACAGTAACAAATACCACCTAAATATCCTTTGAAATACGTACAAAGAATTCGAAAAGCACCAGTGTCTTTTTTATCTTCGAAAACTAAGATCACTTAAAAACCTTCCTGCTCATAATCAATGTTCCAGCAATCCAACATGTTGGATTTAAGGCCTTTCTAAGTAAACATGTCGAAGACATTTCCAAATTATGCGAATCAGTTACACAAATGATGTCCTATTTTGACTTGTTGCCGTGGTTTTTCAGGTAAAAACTTGACTAGTCCTTGTGTTTGTGACATCCTGGTGGGGCGGGATGTGCTCACCGTTTCGCGGACATTTGTTATCATCACTATGCTATCGTCCGAATCGCAAAATGAGATTCTTATACTTGTATTTTTCTCGCTCATATTTATATAAATGCAGGGCCTTGAAAGTATCGTATTCGTATACATCATTATGGCTCAATAAATAGGATCAGTGTTATGATTTCTTGTAAAATACACACTACGTTATATGTATCAATACACAATTCTTTATATTCTTAGAATGTTCATTGAGTAATAATTCGAAAACTAAACTTTGATATTGATGTATTTAAAGTTTAGCGCCCCTAATGGCTATTGACTTCGTCTTTTGAACCGAACCTGCAGTGAACTATAATCGGCTGTGTTTGTTGTCCAGATATGACCTTAACCCTCCACATGAAGACCAGCAGGGCAGCAGTGTCCGGAACACCATGATCTGGCCAGCTGGTGAAGTGAAGGTGGTGGACAATCCGTCTCATGCTTTCCTGTCGTCATAAATGATTATGTATCTTCCATGAGCGAATGCTAAACGAACGTTTGACAATAATATGTGTATCCTTACTACTTCGTTTACAATTCCAACACATGGGTACCCTCTGTAAAAGAGAGGACATGGGTGTCCATTTAATGAAAGACATCACATACTGTGTCTCTGATGTGACTTTCAGCATGGCTTACCGATAGGTAGCATCGTTCAGACTCACACCTACTTTCTCTTTCTGGACAGCCAACTTGGTGACAGTATAGTTTGCTAGTTGGGTTTGTGCTGCCATAGTAACTGAAATGTCTCCAAACGTCTTGGTACCCTTCTCTGGCCAATATTGTAGACACTTCATCTTTAACAGAGTTCACATGTATGAATAATTGCATCCATAAACATTTCAAGCTGTGTTTTTAATTTGATTTCATAAAAAGATAACATTAATTCTTACAGACAAATGTAATCTTATTGTTGTAAAGTCAGAAAGTTTAATTACCTCAGAGAACTAAGTTCATACCTTGCATGCTTCCACCAGACCTGTTACCATGACAATAGTGCTGCACCCCTCCTGCCAGATCATCTTCCAGAAGTCCGTTATTATGTCCGATTTGTAGGGACCTGTACGAGGTTAATACTCAACAAATTATAACGTAACGCGGCTGAGGACGAATCGGAGATAATGTATTTACCCAACTTCTATTCATCTACATTATGTTCCTTGAGTTAAAACGTTACATCCTTTTATTGACCAATCCCTATTTGATATTACCTTGTGCTGCTATATAACGCTTCTCTGACTTGTAACCCTGGACGAAAAACAGCGAAAAAAGATCACAGAACGTTAATACAAACAATGGCAATTGCAACATATGTATGTTAAATGTGAAAAATAGTTTTCTCATTCTTTAGTTGAATGTTTATCCTGACCATCCTTACAATACATTTGAAAACATTTTCATCTTGGGGATACTTCTGACTTTTAGAAAATGTTATAACAAAGTTGTAACTCACATCCAAGTAGCTTGCGTTGATGTAGTCACCTCTACTGTCTTCACTAGCGTCATGCAAGATCACCCGATTGAAGTCATCTGGCAAAAACAGAAACATTGTACATAACATAATATCCTTTAAAAGGGGAGGCTTTCGTGTATTAAAGAATTTAAATACAATATTTTATCCTTACATGGGTAATATCCTTTGAACCTGTTCTTCCCTTTGTTCTTCGTCTTTTGTGATTCCTCATAGGAATGCATGAAACCATCAGGTAGACGCTGAAAGGAAGAAATGACATACTTCACCAACATGAGGCTGATATCGTTATAGTAATACTATCAGGTGTAAGGTTACACAGACTTTCAATATATTTCCTTCCTGAAACTGACCTTAAACTCCTCTTCAGCCCTTTCAGGCTGGTCTTCCATCGCCTGCACTCGTGTCGCAAGTGAGGACACGGGGATAGCATGGCATGCTTCAACATCATCCAGATTGTAGTAGCTTCTAGCAGTAAGATCGGGTGCTTCCTGTGGTGTTACCTGAGCATTGGCATCATAATCTTCTTCATCCTCCAGGACGGGCACACCTTGACTGTCGACTGGATGATTAACAAGTACGTTGTCACGTTTGTCCCCACTTTGGTTTTCACGCATGTTAACATTGCGACCATGTGGGGCTGGAGAACCTAAAGCCACGTGTGCAGTAGTTGTCCGAGTCTTTTTGGATGACACGACTGGCTTCGCTTCCTCATCAAATCCAACATTTATGTATGTATTTTCTGCATCTGTGCCCAATGTCATATTCACATTAGTTTTATTGGTATCACTTATAAATTGGGTTCCCTCACATACATTAAAGCACCAACGCCAAAGAATTATCAGTCTCGAATATCAGCTGAGAGAGCGTAAAAGGCGAAAGGGTGATGAAAATAATATGAGCTAATCACTGAAAATCAGTGATCTTAATAGGTGTACTAGAAAATAGTACGCACCTGCCACATTTTACAAAATGGACAACTTTTATATCAAAGACAGCATAAATTGAAACAATCATTTCTGATTGTAATATGTACCTTGAACGTTTTTCCTCACGGAAGGGACATGTGCTGTCTTTTTTAGAACTGATTCATTGGAAGAAGATCCATTTTCTTTCTGCCGTCTCCTTCTGTTTAATGTACAATACATATTTGCTATCAAATTATATAATCTCAACACTTGTATGGAATATTGTTTCTATGGCAATACAGTAACTGACCTTGCGAGAAGCACAACGAGGATGACAACGAGGGCCACCAGCACAACACCCACTCCAGTTCCTGCTAGAGCTGCGACAGGGACGGTCTGGGCAGGTTCTGACTGGGCAGCTTCTGACTGATCTGTGCGATGACATGACACACATATATATATGTATGCCTGGTCGATGTAATGTGTGTATGTGTCAGCTAAAATACGCTCTCTAACATGGTTATCGTGTCTTAGCTAAATATCTACTGACAATAAATGATAAAATCATATGATTGAAAGAATTTGCTAAAAGTGTCTGCATGGCCGAGGTATATGATTTGTATCTGATCCCATTCCTTTAAGTAACTTGATCAGGGACCGGACACTTGTCCTTATTATTGACCATATGGTCATTGTGCTCACAAGACTTTGGCCAGTCTGTGTCATACCATGTTTCCCCCTCACACACATTGTATTTGATATTTCTAACATGTGTGTGAATGAACCTGCAGGTTGGTCTAATTGCTGTTCCTGTTATTCTGTGAAGATTACCTTTACACTGGGGTCCCATGTATCCTTCAACACAGCCAGAGGGACACTCGCCTGAACTAGGGTCACAACTGTAATTGCCAGCGCATAGTCCACACTCCTCTTTACATTCGCCCCCAAAATGGCCAGGAATGCACGCTAGAATATGAACAAAGAAAAATATTAAAATCCATGGTTCGAATTTGAGCATACATTTATTATGAACCGTTATTGGATATGACGAATGTATTTTCTCATCAACCCAATGGGTTCATTACCAGTGTCCACCCTGTCTCACATCCACCGTCACAGTGCCCTGTTGAGTTACAAGAAGAGTTTCCCACACAGTGTCTAATGGCACAGATCTTGATACAGTTGGCTCTGTAATGTTGTCTGTCACAGGCTAACAACACAAACTAGGAAGATATATATTCCACCTCGTCAAAAGTATCGCACTGCCAAGAAATTATAGTAATAGAACAGTTATGTGTAAGGAGAAACTGGAAAGCGGAAGGAGAGCAATCAAAAGTATGTTTTAATTTAATGTGCAACATGTTATTTTATAAACAATAGGAATAATAAGCATGTGCAAAGAATAACAACAACTTCATTCCCCAGTGACGACAATGACTGTAATCGGAGATAAATAGAGGTTGTATACGTATGGTAACTTCAGGAATGAGATGCACAGATCAAAACGTACGTGTCTTAATAACGTTGTACTCATGTCACAGTTAAATGATCAACAGTGTTAGTCAATATCTGGTGAACCACAAAACACACGAATCACATCGCAAAGACGTCTCATCGTGCTCAATATCAGACGCCTGATCCTCAATTGAGGGATGTGTTGCCATTTCTGATGCACTGCCTGTGTCAATTCTTGTCTCTAACCCATCTCCCAACTGATGCCATAGATGTTCGATTGGAATCAGGTCTGGGCTTTGAGAAGGCCAAGGCAGTGAATCATTGTCGTTATGGAGATGGTCAGTCACAGTTCTGGCTCGGTGGGGATAGGCATTGTCGTCCTTGAAGACAGGACAAATGCATGGTTATCAAACGAGGCACAACAAAACAGTCAAGTATGGCATCCTGGTACCTTTGTCCACCTAATGTTTACAATCAAAGGAACAACGTTCCCATTCCATGCCTGAGCCGCCAACACATGCCAGTGTTTCCTGGATGTTGTGCTGATGATAAGATATTCATCTTTGCCTACTGACACCAGTCCTTCCATCAATGTGGTGCAACAAAACCGACGCTAGTCAGACCAATAAATCCTCCTTCGTGACCTCAAGTTCCGATGTGCTCTGGCCTGACAACAGTCCAAACTGTCCCGCATGTGTTAGGGTGAAAGGGTGGACGCTTTACTGGTCTTCTGATAACCTGCTGCTGTCAGTAGACGCCTGACTGGTGCTAAGGTACACTCTGATGTGGGTATGCCAGTGATGACAAAGGACACAGCAAGTTCAAATTAGCATCTGTTGTGCCTGGCGTACAAAGGACCCTGCCACCTCTGGCACGAGTCTTCCCTGGACGTCCTGATCTCGACAAGTCCCGCACATGTCCAGTAAACGTGCGTTTTCTAATGAGTCGACTAATTACAGTGTGATTAACGTTCAATACCGTGGCAATAGCTCAACATGACATTCCAGTTTGATAATTTTCTGGAATAGTATACTATTCAATCATTTCAAAGACAGACTTTCAAATCGGTAGAATTTTCATTCAAAATTGATAGCAGTAAAGAACCTTCTGTCATCAAACAGTAATTTCTCTTCAGGTGGGCATACAGCTCGCATAAACGCACCCACAAGGCTGGACAGTTAAGGTGGCTATCATCCTACATGTGGATTATGTATCAACAAACAGTGTACCATTAGAAAATCTCAATTATATTTCAATATTGGCGGTATATATTAACTCCACGTAATCTCAGACGTTCCAATACAGTACAAAACATTTCATAAGGCATATTTTCTTTAGGCCATAGGCTCAGGTTACGTTGGGATTTCATCATCTACTGACCGCCGTGTGTTGATGTTTGTCTTAGAGCTAGGGAGCACTTATATTCAAAAAGTAACCACCAACAAATAAAACAACTTTCTGTATTAACATTTAGTATCTTAAGAATTCTCATTTGATTGATAAATTGAAATAAACACACACACGCGTATATTTGGAATTGACATGCATTAAGGCAAACTACCATAACAAATGGTAACAAAGCATGCGGTAGGTACCAAGAACCAAGGGCAAGAATGAGGAGAACTGGGTTCATCGAACTTTCAGTGACCACCCCTTTTGTCATAAGGACATATATTCTACACGGTGTATACTTGCATGTAGCCATAAAAAAACTGTGTATATGTGCAAGGCGACTAAACTATGTCTTTACCCGTGGTACAGTCTTCACCCTTCCATCCAGATACGCATTCAGATGTGCATGTTCCTCTCACATGATCACAAGACGAGTCTCCTGCACATTTTCTTTCTGAACAAGTCATGTTGCAGTTAGCTCCATAGGTTCCATTGTTACATTCTGTGATGGAAGCACTGAGTTACTTTTCTTGGTAAAACATGCATCAAGAAACAAACAAATAACATGTATGTTCGACGAGGGCATCTCTGCTTTGGACAGGGTAGTCAGATTAACACGAAACCGATGCACCAGTTTGATGCTTACAGGACTATGTTCACGAACAAGTCGACATAGAGATAATAAATCAGATAACATAATGTAGCAGAATGTAAGTAGTGTGTATTTTAACTTACATATTTTAAATGTATGTAAATGATTGAGTTAAGTATGGGAATAGCTCCTTAAACTAACTTGACCATTTTCTACTAATCCTTAGGTAAAGTACGGGTTATAGTTATGTAAGGTCTTTAGTGATACGGTCCAGCCACAGCTTGGCCAGTGATTGCCTTTCCTATTGTTTCTGTAGCATGTGACCAGGTTTTTACTTTTAAACACTTCAATATTTCTCAGACCCGTGAAGATCCGGGTAGAATAGGTCTTCAGCAACCCATGCTTGCGGTAAAGTGCGACTATGCTTGTCGTAAAAGGCAACTAACGGGATCTGGTGGTCAGACTCGCTGACTTGGTTGATGCATGTCATCGATCCAAATTGCGTGGAACGATGCTCATGATATCAATCACTGGATTGTCTGGTCCAGACTCGATTATTTACAGACCGCCGTCATATAGCTGGAATATTGCTGAGTGCGGCGTTAAACAAACAACCAACCAACCAACCAATATTTCTCATCTCTGGTCACTGCTTCATTACAACTCTGCATGATTCACAGCACTGCATTGATTGGGGTCAGTTAATTTATACCTCTGTAATATTTATATTTATCATAAGGAGGTTAGTATCTGATATTTTAGTCTTGTTAAGTACACTTTTATCATTTTAATTGCATATTTTTATATAGTGTAATTTGCAGTGTGATCCACATGTTGCGCAATGTTGTAAACATATTACTTATTCTTCAAAGCCATGATACATTAGTGTGCATTGTGATGTTAAGTCATTGCTAGGGTAACCAATTAGAATATAATGTAATTAGTGTTTAACAACCATATTGTTATAAGCTTAAGGTGCTTTCAGTACTTTATATAGTTTATAGCTTGTAGCTGTATCTATTAGAATACATTAATCATTAGCAATAATATACAGCTATGAATGTAATGATATATTGTACAGTATTATAGTACACTAAGTCTTGTATGAGTTAGTTGATGATTATGTCATACTCTGTGAAAGTGTTGGTAAATATGTACTGATGTAGTGCACATATGTAAAGAGAGAGCATGTCTGTGTGCGTATTATATTCATTTTGCTTAATTGTGTCATTTCATAATTAGGCATAGAGGCACATATAAAGCCACACTGTTGACATTGACGTGATGAGCCGCTGTAACTATAACATACACAAACTGCATATTAATCACTCAGTGACTGAAATCAGACCATGACATTCAGAGATCAATATCCTTGGTCACAGTTAAATCGATCACCGCAATGTTTGTTTGGCTCAAAGTTATACCTTTTCTTACAATTCCTCATCCATTCTGCACAGTCCACGTTGAGTCTTACTTAGGTTAAACCAACTCAAATTAATATAGAGTGCTCATAATATGTGGCTTTGCTAATATTGTACAAGGATGCAAATTGTTTATATCTTGATTATTTCTGCCTGCAGTGTGAAAAACCATTTCCGTATATGACGTTAGTCCGCATTATGCAGATAAAATATTTCCACGTGTATAATTTATCTTGAAATAGCATGACTGAGGGTAATAATATATAACTTCGTATCAGCTATCTTGAAGTGTGATGTACTTCTTAAACATGTCAAAGAAAGAAATTTAAAACAACGAGTAACATATCACAGAGAGATTAGACTTTAGAGTCCACTCCGTATATATATATATATATATATATATATATATATATATATATATATATATATATATATATATATATATATATATTTATCATTTAACTAAAGCATTTATCCATGACAAAAGCTTATGACATAAAAACATGTATGCCATACCCCAATGGCATAAGTATGCAAATTAGATATGCAAATTAGATAGCCGGAAGTGGGACTTTTTTCGCCGGTGCACGTGAGTAGGTGTTTACAAACAACATGGATACCTTTGATGTTGGAGACAATGTTTTAATAGATCAAAGGGGAAGTGCTACAGTGATATCCGTGTTGACAAATGGATATTACAGGTTGATGGTACCGAATTTGAATTTGACTGTGATGAAGGCAGATTATTAAAACTTCCCTGTGGCCAAAGTTTCATCATCGAAACGCCATCGTCGAGAACAGCGAAGCAGACGACGAACACAAAGCCGAAAGGTGCCCAAGGAAGATTTGTGGCTGTTGAGGACGGCATGATCGATGGTGTGATCCTAGACAATCAAAACAAAAACACAGCCAAGAAAGCTTTGTACGACTTGAAACTGTTCGATAACTTTCTAAAAGTCCAAAATGAATTTCGCCAAATGCACGAAATCCCCACAAACGAACTAGACACACTTCTCTGCAAGTTTTTCATTAGTGTTCGAAAAACAAATGGGGAAAATTATGAACTAAACAGTCTCACGGGTTTTCAGAGCAGCATCGAGAGATCACTAAAACGAAGGGGGTATGGCTATTCACTCACGTCATCTTTAGAATTTTCACGATCACGGGAAGTATTAAAGTGGAGAAAAATTGAACTAAAGAAAGAAGGGCGTGGCAACTTACCAAGGAGAGCCGACCCGATTGGTGATGAAGAGATCGAGTCCCTGTGGCAGTCCGGATCCATTGGAATCAGTAATCCAATGAGCATAATAAACTGTCTATGGCTCTACAACACATTCCATTTCGGGTTAAGAGGTGTCAGTGATCACTACAACATGTGTTGGGGGGACATCACATTGCATGTTGATGGAGACGATCACGAATATCTTGAACTGTCCATGAGACAAGAAAAGAATAGGTCCGGTGAGAATCCTCGTGATTGTCGCGACGTTAGGCCCAAAATGTGGGCTAATGTTGCTGATCCCTCTCGGTGCCCTGTGCAGGTGTATAAGTTGTATGCCTCCACGCGTCCACTCGACTTCTGTCGAGATGACGATCCCTTTTACATCGGCACACACACTTTAGGTATGCCTAAACCTGGCGATCAGTGGTTTATCCGCTATCGTATTGGGAAAAACAAACTTTCCTCTCTCATGAAAAACATGTGCGATGCCGCCAGTCTCCAAACATCGAAACGACTCACAAATCACTCTGCGCGCAAACACCTTGTGCAAAAGTTGAATGACAATAATGTTCCGCCAAATCAAATAATGCAGATAACTGGCCACAAAAACATCCATTCTGTGAACAATTACTGTCATATTAATCCTGACCAGCACAAGCAAATATCCAACATCATTTCACGAAACACTCTATCGCACACTGTGACATCCCAGCTTGTTGGTGACACTCCCGTCATGAAGAGCGGCCCCTCGCGTAATGTCCAAATCGACAGTAGACAACACAGTCAGCGGTCTCAAATAATACATGTTTCTGGTGGTGTTAACACTATGTTTGCTGGCAACATTACTGGTGGAAACATAACGATTAATCTCGTTGAACCTCCAAGCCCGGTCCCAGTCAAAACACGCCGGATTGTCATCGAAAGTGATAGTGACACCGACTAATGCATCTAACTCTGACCTCTCAGCCGCGAGACATTCTTCAAGTGAGAGAGCGGTTTGATTTGAAACTATATATTATAAGTGAAGTTACACCAGAGATATGATCAGATTACACAGAATCGTTGTTGTTACCGTTATTAAAGTTTCAATTATTCTGCAAAAGTCTGTTCAAGTATTTTGTTTAAAATAATCCGAGGAACTTTTTTTCTCAGCGAAGGAAATTGCCATAAAGGAGTTAAGAGGTTGTTTATTTTGGTTTACACGGCTATGGAAAACATGTATCACTACGCACGATCTATACGTAAGATTTCGACAAGTTGCTGATGTTAATGTTTAATGCAATTTTTCCTTAATTGGGAAGCAAAAATGTGAAAATGATAAATAGAATTCATCACTCGTGTTTTTTTAATATGGGAAATATCAACCTCGTCCCGTTAAACGGTATTTGCCTCGCCAAAGGCTCGGCAAATACCGATTAACTAAGACTCGGTTGATATTTCCCATATTAAAAAACACTCGTGATGAATCCTCTATATATATACTGAGAATCATGCCAGGGGCAAAAACATAATAAAATCATAAATAACACATTCCAACTTGTCAAAATGTACCTTGTGTACAGTCCACACCTGTCCATCCAGGGAGACATCCCTTGTCACATGATCCATTGTAGCGATCACATGACGAGTTGACACCGGAACATTTCCTGGTAGTACATATGTCCACACAGTTGACTCCATAGTAATCAGTGTCACATTCTACAGGAAAAAAACAATTAATTCTTTTAATCAAGACTCTCCATTCAGGGATAAGTTACAATATGATAGGTAGCTATTACGAAGGAATCACAATGAAATATGATTACCTACTAATGTGTATGTATTTGCCTATAGCACGGATTTATTGCTATACAAAGACAGGATCCATCAATTTAAATGTCCACAATTGCAGTTGATATAATATTGTACGTAAGTTTTGTCAACTTCATATTTTACCACCGGCTCCATAACATGTTATTTCATGCCACCGACGAGTGTCAAAATGATCATGTTTACATAGTTAGTTTCTTGACGCATTTTTCAAAATGAAACACACTCTATTTTCAGTCATTGCTACATAAATGTGGATGATATGTTCAATTACATCAATTACACTACTACATTCGCTTATTGACACCCACGCTGATGACCAAAATAATAATGTCATTCAATAACCTCGTTCACCCGTGTAACATGCTTGTCAGCCAAAGCCCTTCACTGCACCCTTCTACCTTTGTTCGGCTGGTCCCAGGACACACACTTGTCTCCCCGGTCTACAGTCTCCAGGAAACACACCTCAATCCCTCATCTGTATCACAACTGTCTCCCTTCTGTCCCCGTCTACAGTGTCAAGGACAAACATCACTGACTTAATCACCTCATCTGTATCACACCTGCCTCCCTGCCATCCAAGTCCAGAGAATCCAGGACACCCATTACTGAATGAATCTCATCACCTGTATCACATCTACCTCCCTTTTCAACACACAGGGGAACACATCGCTGCATCAATCTCTTCATGAAGCTGATAAAACTGGAATACTGTTCAACGCATAGTTAAACCCAACTCATTCAACCCTTTTGGCCTAATCCTTGTGTTTTGATTCCAAAGAGGAATGCTGATTCATGTGCATTTAATATAGATCAGTAAGGAGGGGAGTGCAATTGGTGCCTAATTCCTGTCTCAATGTCCTGACTGTATTTGCATTGATGTTGTTTTCTCAGTAAACAGCTCATTACAGTACAATCAGCATGGTATGCTGTGTTATCGCGGTAGTTAAATTATAATGGATCGAAATGGCGAATGTTTACAAACACATTAGATATGTCATACACAAAATGTTTCTTGTTCTCTATTCAACTTTTATGACACATTAATTTGGATTTCGGTAAACAAAGTACTTAAGTGGCGATTCAAGGGCGGGAAACTCTATATCGCGGTGTCACTAAATTGTTGGTGATACGTGTGGATTATATGGTTTACATCACTTTCTGTTTTGGATTATGCAAAATCAGTATGCAAACAAATTAGGTCGGGTCCAAGGACATTGTCCAAACAAGTGAATTCTTTGCTAATCAATTTCGAATGAAAGTAGGGACAATTCCACTTCAAAAACATTCCAGGAACTATCATAAAAAAATTAACGTGTGTACTTACGAGTAGCCGTGACATAAAGTAACATAAGGTAAGGTGCAATGGGGTTTAACGTCGCGTCCAAGATTATTGCACTTATATAGCGGCGTGCATGTACGTGTGTGTGTTTGTGTGGCTGCTTGTACTAGTCCGGACTGATGCCGATTTATAGTGCTAGCTCACTGAGATACCATGCTGCAGTTTAACATGAATACCCAAGTCAGACACAGTATACTGATTCCGAGCCGACCAGTCCTTGTTTTAGCCCCTTAATGCCGAGCGCCAGACAGTGTAACAACAAGTACCATCTTTTAACGTCTTTTGGTATGACGCGGCCGGGGATCGAACCCCGGACCTTCCGCTGTCCGGGCGGACGCTCTACTACTAGACCACGGAGGCGGTTTAAAGTAACATAAAGTGACATTAAGTCCTTTATTCGATCATACGTTGAAATTGTGTGCTCAGTTTTGCATAAGTAAACAGTTGACAGGGGATCTAGCTTACGAGATTTACCGACAACGCGACAATATAGAGCCCGCGAGTCATACTATAATTACCTGTCTACAGTCTCCACGACACACACCACTGAGTGAATCTCTTCACCTCTATCACATCTGTCTCCCGGCCACCCTGATCTACCATCTCCAGGACACACACCACTGACTAAATCTCCTCACCTGTATCACAGCTGTCTCCCTGCCACCCTGGTTTACACTCTCCAGGACACACACCATTGACTGAATCTCCTCACCTGTATCACACCTGTCTACCCGCCACCCTGGTCTACAGTCTCCAGGACCCACCACTGACTGAATCTCCTCACCTGTATCACACCTGTCTCCCTGCCACCCTGGTCTACAGTCTCCAGGACACACACCACTGACTTGGTCACATGCTGCTTGGAGGCAATGGCAGAACCGATTGCAGCTATCACCAAAGACTCCTGGGCTGCAAACTTGTTAAAGGATGATAGAAAATATAGCCATACATAATATGGAAAAAGACCATTTCCAATGGTCTTTTAGTGTGTGGTTACAAAAGTGTCACTAATATATGAATATTATATATAACAACACTACAGTGTTTATTGCATATGTAATTGAATGTAAAATAGGCACTGGGTCTAGATTAATTCCTCATTGTGACATTTTACGGAGATCTGCAAGTAAAATTGTTTTGAAGTGTTTTGTAGATTGATAAACGAACTCTATTGATCATAACCGATTAGCCGATATCAATGTCACTTCAGTTTTTAAAGACAGTTTTATTACACAGTTCTCCTTTAACTGTGAAAATGTGTGAAGATTGGAAAGGCACAATGACATGCATAACATGGCTGGATGTTCACTTTACCGCTCCTGGTTTTTAAGTATTTTGAAGATTGATACACTGTTGATCATACATAACCTTATTGACAACAGATGGTGGCTGATGACTGAGGGTGAAACAACATCCTTGAAGACATTGTGTTTTAATCATCATCAAGTTGCAACATGAACTTGACAACTTAATCTTGACAACTTAGAGATTAAAACGGAATCACGGCGACACTGTTGTCTGACGGGAGCCACCACTGGGAATTGACCAGTTACCAGTACATCAAATGCCCTTCATCTCACCCAGGCGTATCTTCAGTAACATATGAGAAGGCCAGTGTAGCTCAAATACCCTCAATGAAGTACGAAGCTCATTGACTACAGTTGTGACAAGGAAGATTGATCCGTCGCCCTCTTATACAACAATGCATTCACATTAACGCTAACTTCCCCTTCAGAAATGTTAGATGTGGGTGGAAATTGATATGGCAACTGTGCCCATGTTTCCAATGTCGGGGTCAAGACCCTTAAAAGATTCAAAATAAATGTCAAATATCAAGGCACCATCTGTTGGCACAAATTGAGATAGTCATAGGTCGAACAAATCGGGGCCTAACCATATTCTTATACACAAAAATATGATGCATGGGCATATTGTATTCCTTTGTTGTCTCATGTACATAACTGAATAATTTGATTATCTTTATAATATGCCAATATGATAGATATATTCCTTCTCTCATCGGGAAATGGTTCCTTTAAGATACAAATTACACTTCTGAAAATACCATACCATAAATCTCTACTTCACACAGATTCAAATGTGTGGGATCAGTGATGGTGAAGTATCTCCCCATTCCATCACAGATCACGTTGTAGATACCGTCGCCAGTGTCTGAAGTGTTGGACGGGAAGGTGTAGCAGGGAACACTGGTTGTATTGCTGGTGTTGCTCAGGTAGAGTGCAGCCGTGCGAATTCGAGAAAGATCTGTAATAAGTATCAGTTCAAATACATAATCAATACTAAATTGGCATTGTAGTCGGTAGACAACGAGAGGCTGACAATGCTCCTGAATTTTCGAAACGGTTACTGTGCTAATATATCACAGTGCACAAACGTTATTATAATTGTATGTACAGAGGTATAAAGAATATTACTATATGCTTTAACCTAGTTAAACCTAGCTATAATGATATGGCGACTTTTACATATATTAGTCTGGGCCAGGCAAACCTGTGGTTGACATTATATGCAACATCCCAAGCCGTCTTTGAACGATGACACGAAGTTAAGTCACCAAGCCTGATGACCCGATAAGAAAATCCATACCTCACAACAATTAATAGAACTGTTCCAATCCTGGTCCCCATGGGGTGACCTGATATGTAACACTATATTATGTAAAGAGGACAGTTTGATCGTGACTTCACAGTGTCAATGCATAAAAGTCATACGATTTTTCTGATGATATATCCTGACATCATGTATCCTGTAGTCGTCTCCCAGATCCACTGTCCACAAACTCCTAACGTTGTCAGCAGAGTGGAAACAGGAGTCTTGGTACACATCCTGGCTAGAGTTTCCATCTACAGCTTTGTCTGCAGTCCAGGCAAACGACCACAGTCGAGTAGGAGATGAGGCGTCTTTTCCTAAGGCAACGTTTTCTGTTTTGATACCAACACAACATTTCACTCAAGTAATGAACACAAGAAGTGTCCAGAATAGACATTACACTGTAATAGGCATACATATCCATTCAAAACCAAACCATACATTCAAAAGTCTCGAGTCCTAAAATGGTGTTTATATTACTTGTAACAGATATACAGTGTACGGATATATTGACAACCAAGTGCGAATACAGAAAACTTTACTCACGACAAGAAGATCTGGTGGGTAACTACACGACACGAAGTACATTATGTAACGGCCACCTGTGCTAGAATAACCTATGAATATATATAACCTGCATTACGAGTGAGTGAGTGAGTGAGTGAGTGAGTATGATTTGACGCTGTTTTTAGCAATATTCCAGCATATCACGGCAGGGGGACACCAGAAATGGGCTTCACACATTGTACCCGTGTCGGAAATCGAACCCGGGTCTTCGACGTGACGACCGAACGCCCCCTGCATTATGAAATATCAAACAAATGTTATACTTTAAAACGGTTTTGTAGAGACATATACGCATAGCAGAAATTTACTAACAACTCAGTCAATACACCCACCCACTGCTCCAACCTCTCAACCAGCCAACCTCTACTCACTCACTCGGATTGACACAACAGGACCTGGTAATACAGTAAGTCGCGGCCACTTTTTCTCGAGTGCCTTTGAGTATATATATCCTGCATTGCATTATCAAACTTATTTTATACTTTTCAAATGGTTTTGAAGAAACATACACGCAGAGCAGACATGCCTTCAATTCATATTCATCCTGTGTTTTATGGTTTGTCTGTACCATACCAGTGCTCTCTGTTTTCACCAAACTGGTAAACATTTGATACCTACCTCACTTTGGTCTTCAAGCTAACAGCCTCACACGCCCTTATGATAGTAAAACTCACTCACTCACCCGCACATCTAACCAGCCACAAACACACTAATACACACACGCACTGACCAAACCAGTCAGCCAACCTCACTCACTCACTCACTCACTCACTCACTCACTCACTCACTCACTCACTCACTCACTCACTCACTCACTCACTCACTCACTCACTCAGACGTACAAGTACCAGTACACCCACCCAAACATATTCTCTCACCCACTCAAGAACTCACTCGCCCAGCCAGTCATGCTTTTTAATTATATCCCTACCTTTCTGACAGGTTCCCCCCTGTCCTCCCACCCAGCCTCTATCACAGACACCTCCACAAACACCAGTTGTCTGGTTACAGGACTGCCCACAGTGACAGGTGTAGCTACACGAATCTCCGAATGTTCCCCGGGAACAGGAACCTGGGGAGATATACATTGGAACAGTTAAAGCTGAAAAGGAACCTGACCAAATGAGGTGAGGTGAGGTGAGATGTGGGTCGGATGGGATGGGGTGTGATGAGGTGAGGTTTAACGTCGTGTTCAAGGTTAGTTCACTCTCACAGCGATGTGCCTGAATAAGTCTGGACGATAGTGTAATCCCATTGAGATACCATGCCACAGTTTTTAAGAACGAAACTCGTTACACAGCCTCCGAGTCGTGCAGTCCTTACTTTACCCCCTTAACGCAGAGCTCCAGACAGCGTAACGGCAAGTGTATTCTCTTAATTTCTTTGGTCTTAAAGACTGGGGGATCGAACCACCGACCTACCTCCCTTCAGACGGTTTGTTCAGCAGATGGTAGCAATCAAAATATAATATATGCATTTTCTCTAAGTCGTTGCATTGAGACATCAGTAAACTTAACAATATCCATGTGCAAATGTTATTCACTGTTTTAGCCTAATGTCACTTTATCTCAATAATGTATTTCTTTGTTGTTTCGAAATACCATACATATACATAACTTTATAATCTAATCTTAATTGAAAATACACTCTGCTCGTGTAGAATTAGATGTCGGCAGCTTGTTTGAGTCACTTCTCATTTCTCAGAGGACCTCTCAGAGCCTGGACACAAGTTCCGTCACTGTCTTAACATGTTGGGCTTTGTAACAATTGTTATCGTTATATTATTACGTTTTGTCACAATCTCATGATTGAGTTACAGTGTAACGTTGTTTTAAAATGTCTCGTTGCGACGTCATCGTTTCAGGATGCTGTGTTAACGATGTTCACAACCTTAATCTGAAATATGATGTGCATTATTGTTTACTTCAGATCCTTTCTAAATCTTCCATTGTAATTTAATTCAAATCCATTTTTTGTTAGCCATTTGTTGTTTTAAGAGTATGATTCAAACAGTGTTGAACGTCTTAGCATGAGTTTCAGCTCTTGCGATATAGAGGTTTTATTCCGAATACATAAAGTGCATATACTTTTGTGAACCACTGTACATCACCGTCATATACAACTTTACTCCCCTTCAAGTAACCCATTAACTGGTCTACCATGCTCAGTCTTATGTGCATTGATTGTCTTGTCTTATGTGCAACAATGATGCAGTTAGTTAGTGTCATTCCAATAATTGACATAAAGCTACAATGTATGAAACATAAGGAATCATGATGTGTCACTCACCAATGACAACCTGTATCCAGCAAGCCGATGTGACCACGGTGACAGCTAGTATACACCCCCCCGCCATGTTTGACAACCAGGAAGTTGTTTCTGCTTGACTGGATAGCTGGGACACCTGATATCGCTCGCTGTCAAAATAAACATGGTAGTCAATAAGCGGGTGGAGGGGGACTGCTGACATACAATGTAAATATCTTAAATGCATGTCTGTCCTTTTTACTGTATGACATAATCATAGAGAAGGCTCAGATTTCATATTCAAACAGACATTCTCATTGCGGTCAACTCGTCAAGGAAGGGATATGTCAGGTGGTCTTATGGTTTACAGCTTTTAAAATATTTCGTACATTGAAGTGTATTTTTTACACTTTTTGCCAAGTGACAGTTTCTGATGGTATGGTATCCGTTTGTGTCCCATTTACGATCACCGCATATGTCTAGGTTATTCATAAAGTGAGAAAAGTCTACCTACCTCAGTTTATGAATTAGACATGATCACTGTTTTACATTAGTCGCAGGGATGAGACACACACACACAACATGTGTTCTGGGTATGGGAATCAGACACTTCCCCTGACTATGTTGTTGTACTAATGCGTCAGAGAAGCCAAAATATATTTAATGAGAGTGACACACACGACCTCTGTATTTCAGTAGTTGTTTGGCAACTGCTGAATAAATGGAGAGTAGTGCAGCACACGTTGAATATTTTCTTAGACAGTAATACTTCCCTATTAGTGACAGAATGATGAGCCATTAGTGAATTCGTTTGGTTTCATCAACTTAATCAGACATGGTCATGCCGCAGTACACAAATGGGGATAAAGGTCATCAGGAAAAAACACACGACTTCCTGCTAGTGTTAGGTAAAAGTTATCATATGATTATACATTATAAAGGCATAGGCTATTTGAGTATGTTATCTGTTTAAAACCTTGAACGGATGTATATTACAGCATTATGTGGTTTGGTAACCAAACCCGCTCACTTAAACAATACAACTAACATACAATATAGTGAGTGAATGTATGTTCTTATTTCTTATTCAAATGTGTGGCCATAGTTATACTCGAAGTATCAATGTTGTTTAAAAGTGTGGTTTGTGTTAAAAACTGAATAGGAAAAATAAAGAACTTACATCATGTATGAAGATTGTTAATGATTCACCTATGAAATGGATAATCACTTTACAGCAATACAGCCCAATATACTTTCAATATTTTATGTACTATAATACGCGTGATGCGCGTTTTCCTACAAATTGAATGGCACAGGACAAGTTTGTGCCGCTGAAACTTGTGAGGGAAATCTGATCCTTGACACGCTTGTCTCATTGGCAATATACATCAATGCATAAATATACATAAAAGTGTTGGAATGTTTTTCACATTGAGTACATAAGCAACCATATATGATTTTTTATAATATTAATTAATGTTTCTTCCCTAAATTTCGGTAATCCTGGAATCTGACTAGCTATACAGATGTATAAAATCACAATAACCACCTCTGGCTAAAGCAGTCGATTTGACGACCGTTTCACCAGGAAAGTTATACAGTTATTTTTCTCAGTCATTTGTGGCAGGCACTATTAAATGATTATATGTACAATTATATTTCAGATTTGCGGTAAAATAGTTACCTTTTGCGCAGAAATAGACAGGGTAGTTCATGTTTTGGCGCTTTAGAGAGCTGGTGCTATTCGCTATTTTGGCTTGTCCTTTATGATCCCATGTTTTTTCAGGGGTACAATTGACTTGACTTTGTACGTGTTTGTGACTGGTGCCACCAGTCGGAAAGGTGTCGGCTTACCTTTTCGCGAACACGTGGTATGATCTTTATTTGATAGTGATTCAAAAACACATGTGTTTATGTAGTCGGTATTGCACATTCGACTGCTTTTAGCAGAAATTTCTTATGATCATGGTCGGGATTCTGATAGCGACTGTAACGTAATAATTCCCGCGTCACAATGAGCGGTGTGATGTTACAATAATCACGCGAGGTGCACAACTAAACATTGCAAGGTTTATTGACTCTTCTATAGGAGTGCCCGCTAAATTCTGGCTTATGATGTAGCTGTGCTCCACACGTTCTATGCGTATTTGGTGTCACTTTATAGAGCTTTTAATTTATTTATCATCCTATCATCATAACTGATTATATTATTTGTTATTGGTTTATTATTTTGACGCCACAATGTTGACAGTCTGTCATCTGCACAACCGCCACGTTAGACGACCGGGAAGTTGTTTACACTGCCGTGTTTGCCTACACAGGCGATTCCCACAGGTCGGGTGTCTCTGTCATTACAAAAAGATCCTATTGGCCTGTATCTGAACAAAAGAGAACTATTTACAGGTGTCGTCGGGTAGCTTGGGTGATCAATCAAACATGACTATTTACAAAACATCTTGAAAAGCTCATACACGTTCACATCGTCCCTATACAAGGGTGTGTACTGTATATTTCAATTGTGACCATTTGAAAACCCATAAACAGAACATTAGTGACGGACATAATTAAGGGGCATTTGAATACATATCTGTTTACCTGTGTAAGCTTAATCTTGAAATCAATCCCGAAGTAAGTCAGGCCAATGAGGTGTATTCTATGAAAAATGCGTGTGTAGAAATGTGCTAAGGAACCAAGAATCATAATTAGTTCATATCAAGGATCCAGGATTCTGGCACGCTAAAGTCACCTAACTTTGCACAGAGCATTGCGGTCCTCAGACGACTGGTATCCATCCCATCTCCCTCGTTGCTGCTGTAGTATTCACACAATGTCTGTGTTGTAATAGTCGTGGGGACAAAACGCAAGTTATATACTGATACACTCACTGTTTATTTGGATGAATACCACTGAAACTGAAACTATTGATCTATCTATATTCTAATGACTAGAAATGTAATTAAATAAACACGATATATGTGTACATATGTGCATATGTGAGTGTGCATTCTTTGTGTATACATCCATTACCATGGCCTCGCTAATTCATTGAAGCTGTTGTATTGCGACTGTACATCGTAGCTGCGCAAAGAACTTTCGTTTCTGTGTCCACCCATCATGGAACGAATCTCGAGACCAGCATCGTTCATAACATGGATAGATCTGACATGATAGGTGCAGTTACACTGGTAACTTTTGACAGACAGTGTTGTTGTGTAATTAGGATTCCCAACATTCCGTGGTGATTAAAGTAGTCCTCTACGCAGGGTGTGGCTCAATGTTTTTACATTTCTTGGGAAATGAAAACAATAACAAGTGACTAATTAAGCTATTCAGAATGCAGCAATAAGAATGAACACAACGGAAATTAAATTATATGTAATGCATGCATTGCATCAAACGACTCACATAAGCCGAAGTCGACAGGCTAATCTCATCATGTGATTCTCATCTAACGCCTTCACATTGCTTTATAATGCATAAAGCAATGTGAAGGCGTGTATTTCGGGGCGGTCGGGTAGCCTAGTGATTAAAGCGTTCGCTCGTCACGCCGAAGACCCGGGTTCGATTCCCGACATGGGTACAATGTGTGAAGCCCATTTCTGGTGTCCCCCGCCGAGATATTGCTAAAAGCGGCGTTAAAACCTTACTCACTCACTCTCTAATACATGCATTTCTGTTGAACATGGGAAAGTTCAAACCTATTCATTTGTAAAGTTCGTGAAATAGCGACTGTGAATCCACAAATGTCAGTATCATGATAAAGTTCCATCATGATGTCATCGCAACTATATACATAATCCTGACAACAAATCTTAACCCTATAACTTGAAATTAATATATATCAATATAAATATATAGAAAACCCACTGTACCCCTATACAAAATGTCTATCAAGCCGAAATACAAACATGGAATCATATGCCAATATTACAAAGATACTTGGTAGCATAACGACATGAAGATACATGAATATCGTGTGTACATAATAATCCATGTAAGCGAGATAACATCGTTCATACACTGTATGTCAATCAATTGGAAAAAATATTAGACCTGTTTCAAATAGTTATCGGGCGGTCGAGCAGCCTAGTGGTTAAAGCGTTCGCTCGTCACGCCGAAGACCCGGGTTCGATTCCCGACATGGGTACAATGTGTGAAGCCCATTTCTGGTGTCCCCCGCCGTGATATTGCTGGAATATTGCTAAAAGCGGCGTAAAATCATACTTACACACTCACTCAAATAGTTATCTTCTCCCAGCTTGGATCAATTCCTTGTCGGCAATATCAAACGTCCCAGATAAAGTGTTAGTTAGAGAGTGAACTTGTTAGGTAGCGTCACTAGAGTTAGGCAATCTTGCCCAATTCACTATATTCACCAGACATGTCACGTGATGTGCTGTCAAGTGTTTCATATGTCTGTGGTTCTGCTGGCTCGTATATATCTCGATCTGTCGTTTCAGCCACTTCACCAGATGCCCCTCCCTCCAGATCTGGCTTCTCTGTGTTGAGTGTGCAATATGTCTCTTCTGGTCCCTGGATTTCACGTGACATGACACTGAGGCCATCGTATGTTTGGGCTTCAAGTTGAGTTTCGTCGTTGTCTTGTGATTGTTTTGTTGGAATCTTTGACAGATGACTTGTGTTGTAGTAATCATGTGAATCAGATTCCTGCAGTGATAGTCTGAAAAATAGAAATATGAAATATGAAACATAAGTCATAAAATCTTCTTCACGTTAATACAAAGCTCTCAAAACCAATCAATATGATGAGTAGCAAATTGTTTTATTACATTACTTGCTATGTTTTTGAATCAAAGTAATATCATCATGTGTACTGGAAATGTAATGAATTGTTGAATATGATTGGACTAGACATCAAGTACCTTCGTCTCCTTCTCCAGATAACAACACCGACGGCAGCCCCTGCAACTACCAAGACAACAATTGTTGTCACTGTCACTGCAGGTATAAGTATTTCCTCACCCCCGACTGGGTTGTTTTGCTGAGGTAAAGATGCTGGAAAAGAAGTTACACTTGTAATGTCGTTATGAACAATTTGTTGATGGAGAATAATATACAGTGCCTTCACAAGTCTGAATATGATCACTTTTGAGGATACTATTTATTCTTTTGATTAAAGCGCAATCACATCTGTCACAGCACTTATATTATTAATGCCTGTCTTATATTCAATCTGTTTGTGTGAACGGTTGCAGCACGTAATCCCTTCTCGAAGACACCTTCTGAACCTTCTTACGCATTCCAATCGTTTCAGAAAATCAATCATGTGTGTATTTTAACGTAGATGTTTCGAAAGTACATTTGGCGGTTATTAGTTATTAGTGATGAGGCTTCGAGCCAAATAGTTTCAGTGGGGTGAAAGAGCGAATCCACTTTTAAAGATCATGCACCAAAACCTTAATTGTCACCATTATTCTTAAACCACTTCATTGAGACACGATACAAGAACGTGGGCAGATATTCTGCAAGCATTATTCAAACTGACATCCCCAATGACGCGACCTTTGTATTGTATGCATGACGTTATAAAGATCTAAAGATTCAAAACCTAGCATTCTGATTAGTTAGACATGTCGTGAAAGTACATGAAAGAGTTTCACCAAAAGCCATGCCATGTTGATGTTACTTAGTGAGTGAGTGAGTGAGTGAGTGAGTGAGTGAGTGAGTGAGTGAGTTGGGTTTTACGCGGCTTTTAACAGTATTCCATTTATCTCTCATCTTATTTGTTGATGTTAATTTTACAATACCATCTCAATATTGAGATAAATTGAAACATTTTCTGTAAATAATGTAACAACTGAACTGTAACATAGCAAGGTTGATGACGTAAGATCAGTATTTGAAATCACCAAACGGGCGGGTTTGCGAAAGAAGTGCTTCTAAATAAATATCGGCTTTCGCAGTAATTCGATAATCAGAAAAAAATAATGGCTTGCTTAAGAACGTTCTAGACTGCATTATGTCAGCAACGATGAGCACAATTAAGGTTTATCATTGTAATGGCTAGATTTACCAATACAATAATATAACCAAAATATACTCACCCTAATATGTAGATACCTAACATGTGTGTTAAGAAACCTGACAGTTGGTACCTGCAATCGACGATGCTGACCTTTACGCTGGTGTCGCATGTATCCTTCAACACAGCCTGATTATTTATTACACATCCTCGATGCTTGAGAATATGTATGGTCATCATGGCTATCCCAACATATGTTCTGATTAAACCAATGGTGTTATTACTTGTACAGTCCGTTTGCGCCCAGCCTTTCTCACATCCAGGGGTCACAGTGCCCTGTTCCTGTAATTCTGTGATGCTTACCTGTTTAACACTGGGGTCCCATGTGTCTTTCAAAACAGTCAGAGGGACACTTGCCTGACATACTGTTACATGTGTAATAACAAGCGCATAGTCCACAAATGGCCTGGAATGCACACATGAAGATGAACAAAGGGAAATGGAACCTATTGAAATCGAATCTGAGCATGCATTTATAAACCGTTATTGGATATGAGGAAAGTATTTTCTCATCAACGCAATGGTTTCATTACCTGTGCAATCGTCCAGTGTCCACCCTGTCTCACATCCCCTGTCACAGTCCCCTGTTGAGTTACAGGAAGACTTCCCCACACAGTGTCTGGAGGCACATGTCTTGTCACAGTTGGCTCCGTAATGTTGGCTGTCACAGGCTAACAACATAAACGAGGAATATTTTATGATCATAAGAAAAGAGATGGGTGAGGAGAAACTGGAAAGCGAAAGGAGAGCAATCAAAAGTAAGACTTAATATACAACATGTTTATTTCATGAACAATAGGAATAATAAGCATGTGTAAAAAAAACTGTATTCGCTAGTGACGGCGATGACTGTATTCGGAGATAAATATAGGTAGTATACTTATGGTAACTTCAGGAATGAAATGGACAGATCAACTCGTAGGTGTTTTAGGAACGTTGTACTCATTTCACAGTTAAATGATCAACAGTTAATGCTAATATCTGGTGTACCAACAACGTACACGTATCACGTCAGCTAGACGCCTCATCGTGCTCAATATCAGATGCCTGATCCTCAACTGAGGGATGTGTTGGCATTCCTGACGCATTGCCTGTGTCAATTCCTGGCTCTAACCCTATGTCCTAACTGATGCCATAGATGTTCGATTGGAATCAGGTCTGGGCTTTGAGAAGGCCAAGGCAGTGAATCATTGTCGTTATGGAGATGGGCAGTCACAGCTCATGCTCGGTGGGGTTGGGCATTGTCGTCCTTGAAGACAGGACAAGTGCATGGTTATCAAATGAGGCACAACAAAACAGCCTGACATCAGTTCAAACTGTCCCGCATGTGTAAGGGTGAAGGGTGGACGCTTTACTGGTCATCAGATATCCTGATGCTGTCAGTAGACGCCTGACTGGTGCTAAGGTACACTTTGTTGTGGGTATGCCAGTAATGACAAAGAACACAGCAAGTTGAAATTGGCATCCGTTGTGCCTGGCGTACAAGGACCCTTTCCCTCTAACACGAGTCTTCCCTGGACGTCCCGATCTCGACAAGTACCTCACATGTCAAGTAAATGTGCGTTTTCTAATGAGTCGACTGATTACAGTGTGATTAACGTTCAACACCGTGGCAATAGCTCAACATGACATTCCAGTTTGATGTTTTTCTCGAATAGTATACTTTTCAATCATTTCAAAGACAGACTTTCAAATCGGTAGAATTTTCATTCAAAGTTAATAGCAGTAAAGAACCTTCTGTCATCAAACAGTAATTTCTCTTCAAGTGGGCATACGGCTCGCATAAACGCACCCACAAGGTTAGACAGTTAAGGTGGCTATCATCCTACATGTGGATTATATATCAACAAACAGTGAACCGTTAGACAATCTCAATTATATTTCAATGTTGGTGGTATATATAATCTCCACGTAACATCAGACGTTCCAATACAGTACAAAACATTTCATAAGGCATATTTTCTTTAAGCCATAGGTTCAGGTTACGTGGGGATTTCATCATCTACTGACCGCCGTGTGTTGATGTTTGTCTTAGAGCTGGGGAGCACTTATATTCAAAAAGTAACCACCAACAAATAAAACAACTTTTTGTATTAACATTTGGTATCTTTAAGAATTCCCATTTGATTAATAAATTGAATAATTTTAAACACACACACACACACGCGTATATTTGGAATTGGCATGCATTAAGACAAACTACCATAACAAATGGTAACAAAGCATGCGATAGGTACCAAGAACCTTTGGTAAAAACACAATGGAACATCACTGGAGCTTTACCCTCTGAAAGCTGAAGCAAGATTGAGGAGCACTGGGTTCATCGAACTTTCAGTGACCACCCCTTTTGTCATAAGGACATATATTCTACACGGTGTATACTTGCATGTAGCCATATAAAGCTGTGTATATGTGCAAGACTACTAAACTATGTCTTTACCCGTGGTACAGTCTCCACCCTTCCATCCCGATACGCATCCAGATGTGCATGTTCCTCTCACATGTTCGCAAGGCGAGTCTCCTGCACATTTTCTTTCTGTACAAGTCATGTTGCAGTCAGCTCCATAGGTTCCATTGTAACATTCTGTGATGGAAGCACTGAGTTACTTTTCTTTGTAAAACATGCATCAAGAAAGAAACAAATAAAATATATGTTCGACGAGGGCATCTCCGCTTTGGACAGGATTGTCAGATTAACACGAAACAGATGAGCACAGGTTTGATGCTTACAGGACTATGTTCACGAACAAGTCGACATAGAGATAATAAATCAGATAACATAATGTAGCAGAATGTAAATAGTGTGTATCTTAACTTACATATTTTAAATTTAGGTAAATAATTCAGTTAAGTATGGTAATAGCTCCTTAAACTAAACTGAACACTCTCTACTAATCCTTAGGTAAAGCACGGGGTAAAGTTATGTAAGGTCTTTAGTGATATGGTCTAGCTACAGCTTGGCCAGTGATTGACTATCCTATTGTTTCTGAAGCATGTGACCAGGTTTTTAGCTTTAAACACTTCAATATTTCTCATCTCTGGTCACTGCTGCATTACAACTCTGCATGATTCACAGCACTGCACTGATTGGGGTAAGTTAATTTATATATTTATAAATTTAATATTTATATTTATCATAAGGAGGTTAGTATTTGATATTTAAGTCTTGTTAAGTAAATTTTTATCATTTAAGTGCATATTTTTTATATAGTGTAATTTGCAGTATGATCCACATAGTACGCAATGTTGTAAATATATTACTTATTCTTCAAAGTCATGATACATTAGTGTGCATTATGATATTAGGTCATTGCTAGAGTAACCAATTAGAATATAATGTAATTAGTGTTTAACAACCATATTGTTATAAGGTGCTTTCAGTAATTTATATAGTTTATAGCTTGTAGCTGTATCTATTAGAATACATTTATCATCAGCAATAATATACAGCTATGAATGTAATGATATATTGTACAGTATTTTAGTACACTTAGTCTTGTATGAGTTAGCTGATGATTATGTAATACTCCGTGAAAGTGTTGTTAAATATGTACTGATGTAGTGCACATATATAGAGAGAGAGAGCATGTCTGTGTGCGTATTATATGCATTTTGCTTAATTGTGTCATTTCATTATTAGGCATAGAGGCACATATAAAGCCACACTGTTTGCATTGACGTGATGAGCCGCTGTAACAATAACATTCATCAACTGCATATTAATCACTCATTGACTCAAATCAGACCATGACATTCAGAGATCAATATCCTTGGTCACAGTTAAATCGATCACCACAATGTTTGTTTGGCTCAGAGTTATACCTATTCTTACAATTCCACATCCATTCTGCACATAGTCCACGTTGATTCTTACTGAGGTTAAACCAACTCAAATTAATATAGAGTGCTCATAATATATGGCTTTGCTAATATTGTATAATGATGCAAATGGTTTATATCTTGATAATTTCTGCCTGCAGTGTGAAAAACCATTTCCGTATATGACGTTAGTCCGCATTATGCAGATAAAATATTTCCACATGTATAATTCAACTTGAAATAGCATGACTTAGGGAAATAACATATAACTTCGTATCAGCTATCTTGAAGTGTGATGTACTTCTCAAACATGTCAAAGAAAGAAGTTTAAACAACGAGTAACATATCACAGAGAGATTAGGCTTTAGAGTTCACTCTATAACTTAGAAAACATATTGAGAATAATGCCAGTGGCAAAAACATAATAAAATCATATTTAACATATTGCAACTTGTCAAAATGTACCTTGTGTACAGTCCACACCTCTCCATCCAGGGAGACATCCCTTGTCACATGATCCATTGTAGCGATCACATGACGAGCTGACATCAGAACATTTCCTGTTAGTACATATGTTCACACAGTTGACTCCATAGTCATCAGCGTCACATTCTACAGGAAAAAAACAATTATTTTTTTTAATCAAGACTCTCCTTTCAGGGATAAGATACAATATGATGTTTAGCTATTACAATATTGCAATTTAAATATGATTGCCTACTAATGTGTACGTATTTGCCAAAAGCACGGATTTATTGCTTTTCAAAGACAGGACCCATCAGCTTAAATGTCCACAATTGCAGTTCATATAATATTGTACGTAGGTTTTGTCAACTTCATATTTTACCACCGGCTCCATAACACGTTATTTCATGCCACCGACGAGTGTTAAAATGATCATGTTTACATAGTTAGCTTCTTGACGCATTTTTTAAAATGAAACACGCTCTATTTTCAGTCATTGTTATGTTCAATATGTTCAATTACATCAATTACATTACTACATTCGCTAACTGACACTCACGCTGATGACCAAAATAATAATGTCATTCAATAACCTCATTCACCCGTGTAACATGCTTGTCAGCCATAGCCCTTCACTGGACCCTTCTACCTTTGTTCGGCTGTTCCCAGGACAAACACCGGTCTCCCCGGTCTACAGTCTCCAGAAAACACACCTCAATCCCTCATCTGTATCACAACTGTCTCCCTTCTGTCCCGGTCTACAGTGTCAAGGACAAACATCACTGACTTAATCTCCTCATCTGTATCACACCTGCCTCCCTGCCATCCAGGTCCAGAGTATCCAGGACACCCACTACTGAATGAATCTCATCACCTGTATCACATCAACATCCCTTTTCAACACACCGGGAAACACATCGCTGCATCAATTTCTTCATGAAGCTGATAAAACTGGAATACTGTTCAACGCATAGTTAAACTCAACTCATTCAACCCTTTTGGCCTAATTCTAGTGTTTTGATTCCGAAGAGGAATGCTGACTCATGTGCATAAAAATAGATCAGTAAGGAGGGGAGCGCAATTGGTACCTAGTTCCTGTCTAAATGTCCTGTCTATATTTGCATTGATGTTGTTTTCTCAGTAAACACCTCATTTCAGTACAATCAGCATGGTGCGCTATATTGTCGCCGTAGTTATATTATAATGGCTCGAAATGGCGAATGTTTACTAACTCATTAGCTATGTCATACGCAAAATGTTTCTTGTTCTCTATTCAACTTGTGTGACACATCAATTTGGATGGATCGATGCTGGTTTTCTTTACCGAGTTCAGTAAACAAAGTACTTGTAAGTGGCGATTCAAGGGCGGGAAACTCTATATTATCGCGGTGTCACTAAATTGTTGGTGATACGTGTGGATTATGTGGTTTACATCACTTCTGTTTTGGATTATGCCTAATCAGTATGCATACAACATAGGTCGGGTCCAAGGGCATTATCCAAACAAGTGATTCCATTTCTAACCAATTTCGAATGAAGGTAGGGGCAATTCCACTTAAAAAAAATTCCAGGAACTATCATAAAAAAGGTAACGTGTGTACATTAAGTCCTGTATTCCATCATGCGGTGAAAAAGTGTGCTTAGTTTTGCATAAGTTGACAGTGGATCTAGCTCACGAGATTAACCGACACCGCGACAATATAGAGCACGCGAGCCATACTATACTAACATGACACGACACACACCACTGACTGAATCACCTCAACTGTATCACATCTGTCTCCCCTCCACTCTGGTCTACAGTCTCCAGGACACACACCACTGACTGAATCTCCTCACCTGTATCACACCTGTGTCCCTGCCACCCTGGTCTACAGATTCCAGGACACACACCACATACTGAATCTCCTCACCTGTATCACACCTGTCTCCCTGCCACCCTGGTCTACAGTCTCCAGGACACACACCACTGACTTGGTCACACGCTGCTTGGAAGCAATGGCAGAACTGATTGCAGCTATCGCCAAAGACTCCTGGGCTGCAAACTTGATATAGGATGATAGTGAATATCCTTGTTTTCTAATGGTCTTTTAGTGTGTTGTTACAAAATGTAACTGACATATGAATATTAGCTGCACTATTGCTTCCACTTACAGGTTATCTGCGGTCCCATATAACAACACTACAGTGTTTATTGCATATGTGATTGCATGTAAAATAGGCACTGGGTCTAGATTAATTCCTCATTGTGACATTTTATGGAGTCTGCAAGTAAAATAACCAAATAGCCATTCTCAATCGCACTTCAATTACTTTTGCTGGACAGTTTTCCTTTAACTGTGAAAATGAATGAAGATTTGAATGGCGTAATGATATACTAAATTCTTAGACCCGTGAAGATCCGGGGTAGAATAGGTCTTCAGCAACCCATTCTTGTCGTAAGGCAACTAACGGGATCGGGTTGTCAGGCTCGCTGACGTGGTTGATGTATGTCATCGTATCCCAATTGCGTGGATCGATGCTCATGATGTCAATCACTGGATTATCTGGTCCAGACTCGCTTATTTACAGACCGCCGTAATATAGCTGGAATATTGCTGGGTGCGGCGCTTAACAACAACCAAACCAAACCAAACCAAACCAAACCATTGGGTTTTAAACATCAACAAGTTGCAACTTGAACTTGACAACTTAATCTTGACAACTTAAAATGGAATCACGGCGACACTGTTTTCTGACGCGAGCCACCACTTGGAATGATGCCCGTCTCTTGTCAGGGACGTCTTCGGGGTTTCACAAGTTAACAGTACATCAAATGTCATTCATCTCACCCAGGCGTATCTTCAGTAACATATGAGAAGGCCAGTGTAGCTCAAATACCCTCAATGAAGTACGAAGCTCATTGACTACAGTTGTGACAAGGAAGATTGATCCGTCGCCCTCTTATACAACAATGCATTCACATTAACGCTAACTTCCCCTTCAGAAATGTAAGCTGTGGGTGGAAATTGATATGGCAACTTGTGCCCATGCTTCCAATGTCGGGGTCAAGACCCTTAAAAGATTCAAAATAAATGTCGAATATCAAGGCACCATCTGTTGGCACAAATTGAGATAGTTATAGGTCGAACAAATCGGGGCCTAACCATATTCTTATACACAAAAATATGATGCATGGGCATGTTGTATTCCTTTGATTTTGATTGACATAACTGAATAATTGATTATCTTTATAATATGCCAATATGATAGATATATTCCTTCTCTCATCGGGAAAGGATTCCTTTAAGATACAAATCACACTTCTGAAAATACCATACCATAAATCTCTACCTCACACAGATTCAAGTGTGTGGGATCAGTGATGGTGAAGTACCTCCCTATTCCATCACAGACCACGTTGTAGATACCGTCACCAGTGACTGAAGTGTTGGACGGGAAGGTGTAGCAGGGAACACTGGGTGTATTGCTGGTGTTGCTCAGGTAGAGTGCAGCCGTGCGAATTCGAGGAAGATCTGTAAAAAGTATCAGTTCAAATAAATAATCAATACTAAATTAGCATTGCAGCTGACAATGCTCCTGAATTTTCGAAACGGTTACTATATATATACTCACAGTGCACAAAGGTTATTATAATTGTATGTACAGAGGTATACAGAGTATAACTATATGCTTTGACCAAGTTAAACCTATATATATGATAATATGGCGGCTTTTACATATACCAGTCTGGGCCAGGCAAACCTGTGGTTGACATTATATGCAACATGCCAAGCCGTCTATGAACGATGACAGGAAGCCAAGTCACCACGCCCGATGACCCGATACGAAAATACATATCTCACAACAATTAATAGAACTATTCCAATCGTTGTCCCCATGGGGTGACCTGATATGTAACACTATATTATGTAAAGAGAGTTTGATCGTGACTTCAGAGTGTCAATGCATAAAAGTCATACGATTTTTCTGATGATATATCCTGACATCATGTGTCCTGTAGTCGTCTCCCAGATCCACTGTCCACAAACTCTTAACGTTGTCAGCAGATTGGAAACAGGAGCCTTGGTACACATCCTGGTTAGAGTTCCCATCTACAGCTTTGTCTGCAGACCAGGCAGATGACCACAGTCGAGTAGGGGATGAGGCGTGTCTTCTATAGGCAACGTTTTCTGTTTTGATATCAACACAGCATTTCACTCAAGTAATGACCACAAGAAGTGTCCAGAATAGACATTACACTGTAATAGGCAAACATATCCATTCAAAACCAAACCATACATTCAAAAGTATCGAGTCCTAAAATGGTGTTTATATTACTTGTAACAGATATACGGTGTATGGATATGTTGACAGACAAGGGCGAATACAGAAAACTTGACACACGACAAGAAGATCGGGTCGGTAACTACACAACACGCAGTACACTAAGTTGCGTCCACCTGTGCTAGAATAACCTATGAATACATATAACTTACATTACGAGTGAGTGAGTGAGTGAGTGAGTGAGTGAGTGAGTGAGAGGTATGGTTTTACGTCGCTTTTAGCAATATTCCAGCAATATCTCGGCGGGGGAGACCAGAAATAGACTTCACACATTGTACCCATGTCGGGAATCTTCGACGTGACGAGCGAACGCTTTAACCACTAGGCTACCCGACCGCCCCCTGCATTACGAATTATCAAACGAATTTTATACTTTTAATCGGTTTTGAAGAAACATAAACGCATAGCAGAAATTTACTAACAACTCAGTCAATACACCCACCCACTGGTCCAACCTCTCAACCAGCCAACCTCTACTCACTCACCCGGATTGGGACAACATGACCTGGTAATACAGTAAGTCGCGGCCACTTTTGCTCGAGTGCCTTTGAGTACAACCCTGCATTGCATTATCAAACTTATTTTATACTTTCCAAATTGTTTTGAAGAAACATATACGCAGAGCAGACATGCCCTCAATTCATATTCATCCTGTGTTTCATGGTTTGTCTGCACCATACCAATGCTCTCTGTTTTCACCAAACTGGTAAACATTTAATACCTGCCTCACTTTGGTCTTCAAGCCGACAGCCTCACACGCCCGTATTTTAGTGAAATACTGTCACATTAAAACTCACTCACTCACCCACCCATCTAACCAGCCACAAACACACCAATACACACACCCACTGACCCAACCAGCCAACATCACTCACTCACTCACATCCAGCCAAAACTCTACTCAATCACTCAGTCGTACAAGTGCCAGTACACCCACCCAAACATATTCTTTCACTCACTCAATAAGACTCACTCACCCAGCCACACATGCTTTTCAATTATATCCCTACCTTTTTGACAGGTTCCCCCTTGTCCTCCAAACCAGCCTCTATCACAGACACCTCCACAAACACCAGTTGTCAAGTGACAAGACGGCCCACAGTGACAGGTGTAGCTACACGAATCTCCGAATGTTCCCTGGGAACAGGAACCTGGGGAGATATACATAGGGACAGTTAAAGCTGCACGAATTGTGTTCATGCAGCCAAAAGTAACCTGGCCAGTCGTGCAGTCCTTACTTTACCCCCTTAACGCAAAACACCAGACAGCGTAACAACAAGTTTCATCTCTTAATTTCTCTTGTATGACACGGCTGGGGGATCGAACCACCGACCTACCTCTCTTCAGACACAGAGACGGTTTGTTGAACAGATGGTATCAATCAAAGTATTATATATGCATTTTCTCTAAGTCGTTATATTGGGACATCGGTAAACCTAATAATATCCATGTGCAAACTGTTATATCCTTATGAAACTTTATCTTAATAATGTATTTCTGAGTTGTTTGGAAATACCATATATGTAGATAAGTACAAATCTAATCTTAATTGAAAAACACTCTGTTGGTGTGGAATATAACTTAGATGTCGGCAGCTTGTTTGAGCCACTCTCACTTCTCAATGGACGTCTCAGAACCTGGATTTTTGAAAACCCATTGAGCTGTTGGCAGGTATGAATTATACAATGGCTGGACCTCCACTAATGTCCGCTGTCTGGTCAATTTGTCTTCAATTCTGTCATTACATTACATCCTTTCTATCCATGCTAACACACAAGTTCCGTCAGTGTTATACACATGTTAGGCAGTGTAACAATTGATAACGTTATATTTTTTTCTGATTAAGTTAGATTGTAATGTTGTTTTAAAATGTCACGTTGCGAGGTCATCGTTTCAGCATGCAGTGCTAACGATGTTCACAACCTTAATCTGAAATATGATGTGCATTATTGTTTTCTTCAGATCCTTTCTAAATTTCCCCTCGTATTTTCATTCAAGTCCAATTTTGTTAGCCATTGTTGTTTTAAGAGTATGATTCAATTCTGCTCTTGTGATATGGGATATTATTCTGAATACATAACGTGTATATACTTTTCTGACCATTGTACATCACCGTCATCTACAACCTTACCCTCCTCAAGCAACCCATTAACTGGTCCACAATGCTCAGACTTACGTACAGTGATTGTCTTGGCGTTGCAACAATGATGCAAAATGTGGTAGTGATATTACAATAATCGACATAAACATATAACGTGTATTCAATAAGGAAGCATGGTGTGTCACTCACCAATGATATCCTGTATCCAGCAAGCTGATGTGAAAACGATGACAGTCAGTATCCACATACCCGCCATGTTTGACAACCAGGAAGTTGTTTCCGCTTGAAAGCTGATGGACACCTGATGCTGCTCGCCGTCAAAATAAACACGGGCGTCTATGAGTGAGGCGAGGATTGCTTTCATACAATGTAAATATCTGTGATGTATGTCTGTCTTTGTCCTGTATCATGTGAATAAACACAGAGAAGGCTCAGATTTCGTATTCAAGCAAACGTTAAGTCCATTTCAGTCAACTCAACAACCGACATGGATATGTTTGGTAGTTTTATGGTATACAGCTTTCAAAGTATGTCGTACATTGAAGTGTATTTTAACACATAACATGGACACGTTTATGGCCAAGTCACACTTTCAGGTGGTATATTATTGTTGAGTGGGGGGCACGGATGGCCCAGTCGTCTAAGGCGCCGCGAGTCGCTGTGCAGAGTTGCGTCCCTCGTATACCAGAAACCTATGATTGTGGGTTTGAATCCCGGTTCGTCCCGATTATGTTTCTAGGTTTGTCAGCACCATACCCTTGTTCGTGGGTTTCACCGAAGTGGTAAACGTCCGAGACCTGCATCCCTTCGGGCTTTCCTCACACATTAAGTTGACACGCCGTGATATAACTGGAATACTGTTAAAAGCGGCGTTAAACCCAACTCACTCACTCATTGTTGAGTGTCAGATATATGTCACCGCATATGTCGAGAAAATGTCTGAAATGCATGTCTGTCTTCATCCTTTATCATGAAAGTAAACATAGAAAAGGCTCAGAATTCATATTCAAACAATCATTAAGTCTCATTTGGTTCAAATCAGCAAGGAAAGAATATGTCGGTGTACAGATTTCAAAATATATTTCGGAAATTAAGTGTATTGTAATACACAACATCACATTTTGTGATGGTATGTTTTTATTTTGTCATGTGTCCCATCACCGATCACCGCATAAAGTGAGAAAAGTCTACCTTCCTCGGTTTATGAATTAGACATGATCACTGTTTTACATGAATGAGACACACACAATAGGTGTTCTGTGTGTAGGAATCATACACTCCCCCTCACTGTGATATGGTACTAATGACACACCATGATAATATAATTAATGAGAGTGACACGCACGACTTTTGTGTTATAGTCGTCATCAGCAAGTGTAACTATCGACGAAATGGAGAATATTGAAGCAGATGTTGCATGCGTAATTTCTAAGACAGTTATAATTCCGAAATAGTGTGGAAAGATGAAAACGTCCATACAGAACATGATACATTGTGACTGTAAATTGTGTGTTCGAGAATACCTGAAGTGTGAATTCGGGTGGTTTCATTAACGTTATCGCACAAAGCCAAGCTGCAGTACACAAATAGGGAAAAATGCCATCAGGAAAAAACACAACTTCCTCCTAGTGTTATCAGATTGTGGTACGTGTACTTTTAAAACTCAACATGAAATGATGTATATCCCATCAGGATGTGATTTGGTCTCAGTGGATATCACAGAGAAGTTGTATACTTCCCTGTTACAATAGCAATACTTAACAACACCTTTACCAATGGTTTTAATTTACAACTTACTCGCTATACATAGTTGTATGCCTTAGGCATGCCAAAACTTATTAAAGTGGGTTCGAATTTGAGTGTCGTTATAGGTTTATCAGTACATACACCTCTTAGTGGTCGGAACGTCTGAGACTTGCACTACGTCGAGCTTTTCTCCATACTTAGCCCTGATATTACTGAAAGTTTCGTTGTAACCGAACTCACTTAATCAATGCAAGATACATATAATATAGTGAGTGAATGTATCTGCTTATTCCTTATTCAAATGTGTGGATAGTTATAGACGAAATATCAATGGAACTCAATTGGAAATAAGTAAAGAACTTACATCACGTATGAAGATTGTTCATTATTCACCTATGATATGGATAATCACTTTACAGCAATACAACCCAATATCTCTTCAGGCGACCGCGTGTATGTACTATATAATACGCGTGATACGTGTTTTCCATCAGATTGAAAGGTAGAGGACATGTTTGTGCCTCTCACACTGGTGAGGTATTCTTACCAGCAACACGCTTGTCTCATTGGCAATATACAATAATGCATTCATGAACATAACAGTGTTGGAATGTTTTACACATTAAGTACATGTGCAACCATATATGATTATTTTATCATACACATTAACGTTTCTTCCCTGAATTTCGGTAGCTAGCTATAGAGATGTATAAAATCACAATAACCACCTCTGAATGAAGCAGCCGATTTGACGACCGTTTCACCAGGGAAGATATACAATAATTTTTCCCAGTCATTAGTGGCATTGTATGTACAATTATAGTGAACATTTGCGGTAACTGTAAAATAGTTACATTTTGCTCAGAAATCGACAGGGTAGTTCATGTTTTGGCGCTTTAGAGAGCTGGTGCAATTCGTTATTTAGACTTGTCCTGAATGGTCCCACATCTATTCAGGTGTGCTTTTGACTTCAGGACTTTGTACGTGTGTGTGACTGATGCCACCAGTGGGGAAGGTGTCGGCTTACCTTTTCGCGAACACCTGGTATGATCTTTATTTGATAGTGATTCACAACACGTGTGTGTATGTTGTCGGTATTGTATAATAGACTGCTTTTAGTAGAAATCGTTTACGACCATGGACGCAGATGTTTCAGCTTACTATTGAAATAATGTTAGCCTCTATGTAAGCGACTGTTACGTAATATTTTCTGCGTCACAATGAGCGGTCTGATGTTACAATAGTCACGCGAGGTGCACATCTAAACATTGGAAGGTTTAGTTACTCTTCGATTTTAGGGGCGCCCACTTAATGCTGGCTTATGACGTAGCTGTGCTACACACGTTCTACGCGTATTTTGTTGCTGTTTAAAGAACTTTCAATTTATTTATCATCCTACTATCATCATTAATTTTATTATTTGTCATTGCTTTATATTTATTTTGACGCCACAACGTTGACAGACAGTCATCTGCAAAACCGCCATGTTAGACGACCGGGAAGTTGTTTACATTTCCGTGTTTGGATACACAGGCGAATCCCACAGGTCGGGTGTCTCTGTCATTACAAAAAAGATCCTATTCACATCTGAACAAAAGAGAACTATTTACAGGTATCGTCAGGTAGCCGGGGTGATCAATCAAACATGACTATTTACAAAACATCTTGAAAAGCTCATACACGTTCATAGCGTCACTATAAAAGGGTGGAGTACTGTATATTTAAATTGTGAAAATTTGTAAACCCATGAACAGAAGATTCGTGACGGATATAATGCAGGGGTAATTGTACACGGATCTGTCTACCTGTGTTAGCTTAATCTTGAAATCAAGCCTGAAGTGAGTCAGGCCAGTGAGGTGTATTTTATGAGAAAATGCGTGTATAGGAATGGTGCTAAGAAGCCAGGAATCATAATTAGTGCTCATCAAGGATCCAGGATTCTGGTATGCTAAAGTCACCTAACTCTGCACAGACAATTGCGGGCCTCAGACAACTGGTATCCATCCCATCTTCCTCGTTGCTGCTGTAGTATTCACACAATGCACACAATAGTCGTGGGAACAAAACGCAAGTTATCTACTGAGGAGTGATACACTCACTGTTTATTTGGATGAACGACACTGAAACTATAGATCTATCTCTATCTATGTTCTAATGACTAGAAATGTAATCAAATAAACATAATATAATAATATATATATATATATATATATATGTGTGTGTGTGTGTGTGTGTGTGTGTGTGTGTGTGTGTGTGTGTGTGTCTGTGTGTGTGTGTGTGTGTGTGTGTGTGTGTGTGTGCTTCCATTGTGTGTACATCCATTATCATGATCTCGCAAATTCAATGAAGCCGTTGTATTGCGACTGTTCGTTACTCTGTCCACTGTGACGAATATCGAAACCAGCATCCCTGATAACTTGGATAGATGTGACATGAAAGGTGTAGTTACATTGGTAACTTTTGACAGACAATGTGATCCCAAACAGTGTTTAAAGTAGTCCTCTTCGCAGGGTGGGGCTTAATATTTTTTTTCATTTCTTAGGAAATGACAACAATAACAAGTGACCAATTAAACTATTCAAAATGAAGGAATAAGAATGAGCACAACGGAAATTACATTATATGTAATGCATGCATTGACTCAAACGCCCCGCATAAGCCAAAGTCAACAGGCTAAACTCCTCATCATATGATTCCCATCTAACGCCTTCCCATTGCTTTATAATGCATGTGTACAAGGTGAAATAGGGATGATGAATATTGATAAAAGTAAACTTATTGTGTTTTGTGAAACGAAAATCTGATTATCAAGACATCAAAATTGTCTTTCAAATCGTGACAGAATGGACACCGGAGGTATGAAGGGCTCGTGGATATACGCATACATTGGTCTGAATAGTAGCTTGTGAAACAGTATCTGTACAAACCAGGAAAACACTATGGGAAGTAATGTCGTTGATAAAAAGTATGAATATTCAATTAAAGATTTTAATGTTAATGAGAAGACATTCCGTGAGTACATTGCAGCAGTTCTAAGATTTCCAGAGCAGGGAAAGTATTGAAATTGTAAACTGCTAAATCTTCATACATGTATTTCTATTGCATATGGTTTTACCACATCACATGTACAAATGTTTCTGGGAATTCTACAAATCCACCCATACCAGTAGAATAGAATGTTATTGTCAATGTTTATAGAACACACAATTTCGCTATGTGCGTACTGTCATACTATCACAATGGACTTTTTATCAGGGGCATTACACGATATGTTCAAACCTATTTATATAAAAAGTCAGTGAAATGGAGAATGTGAATCCACAAATATCAGTATTAGGATAAATTTCGAACTTGAAGTCATCACAAGTATATATATAAATTTGAGAGCAAATCTTGACCGTATAACTTTTTTGACCGATATTAATTAATATCATAGAATAAAACAATGTACTTTGGGTCACGCGACCCCTATGCAAAATGTCTGTCAACCCGAAATACAAACATGGAATCATATCCCAATGTTACAAAG